GGTCAATACAGGCCAATAAGGCATCCCTGATGGCAATAGCTTCCGCGGCAGCTGCACTATGACAGAGTCCGATGCCGGAGCCACCAGCAACTTGAAGCAATCCAGCAAAATCACGACCCAGCCAACCCACCCCCATACACATTGTACTCTTACACCAAGTCGCGTCAGTATTAATCTTGATGGTTTCATACCTTGGTTTCTGCCACTTACCGCAGGTATTCCCCGTGCCCTGTATAGTCTTCGACAGCCTAGGGCTGTATTCAGCAGCATCCCGAGCCAAAGAGCCTCTGTACTCAGAAATACTCTTCCTCCATGCCTCCAAGATCTCCAATGGCTGACGATGGATCCCATTAAAAACCACCTCGTTTCTGTTTTTCCACAATCTCCACAGGCCAAAGGCAAAATCTTGCCTGATCTCGTTCGCATTATCCCTGTTCTTAACATGTGCACAGAATTTACTCTAACTCTCTAAGAAATCACTTCCCTCCAGGACATAGGAATTTAGGTGTAGAGGAGAACAGAACCAGAAGACATGACTAATTTCACACCGGAAAAACATATGGTTTTTAGTTTCATTGAAAGTATTGCATACACCACAGACATTGTCAATTCTCATGTGACGCATTTTCAGATTGCGTCTGACCGCCAGAGCATTATTGCAGCAGCACCAAATGAAAATTTTAATCTTATTTGGAACCTGCAGACTCCAGATGTTGTTCCATACCAGATTTAACTTATTAAACTCACTGGGGGCGCCTCGACCTCTCCTTCCCAAAGCTCCATCTTCCATAAGTTTAATAGCCATACCATACCCAGATTTGACAGAATAAACCCCATTAATAGTATGGTGCCACACCAATCAGTCATCGATGCTAGCTTGGCTTAAAGGAATGCTTAAGATCGGTAGCACATCGTCTCGATTGAACCCGTTCGAGATTAAATCAGTCCTCCAAGAGTTGGTAGACGGATCAATTAAGTCACTAACCTTGGTTCCTTCAAGATTAGCCTTCAGTTTGACTTTAAAGGTCAAGGGCTTCGGGAACCACGGGTCCTTCCTGATGTTTATATTGTTCCCGTTTCCCACCCGCCATCTAAGCCCAAGTTATAGCACTTTTTGAGCTTCGAATAAGCCTTTCCAACCCCACGACGTGTTCTTCCCTCTAGGAGCATCCCCAAAGGGTTTCCCCAGGAAGTATTTATCTCTCAACATCGAAGCAAGAAGGGACAAAGGATTTTGGGTGATTCGCTATCCAATCTTAACAAGGAAGGCAAGGTTGAAGCATTGGATGTCCTTAAATCCCAATCTTCCAGCCTTTTTTTGCTTCGTAAGTCGATCCCAAGAAATCTAATGGATTCCCTTACGTTGATCATTACCTCGCCACCAATAATTCCGAATGGCTCTTTCAACATCCCGACACCCACCAATGGGGAGCTTAAAACAACTCATGGCAAAGTTTGGCAGGGCCATAGCCACTGCTTTCACAAGGACCTCTTTTCCAGCCTGGGACAGGTACTGCTCAGCCCAACCTGACATGCGGGCTTCAATCTTGTCCTGAATCTCCGCAAAAACCGCTTTTTTAGAATGCCCAAAATCAGCCTGCAGGCCTAAATATTTCCCAAAACCCTGTTTGCATTGAATCCTCAGGGTGTCCACAATTTTAGCCTTAATACACTTCGAGGTATTAGCACCAAAGAAGACCGAACTCTTGGCCAGGTTAATCTTCTGACCAGATCCCCGAGCGTAAATCTTTAAAACTTCCACGATACTTTTCGCCTCCTCCACAGAAGCATTTCCAAAAACCACAGAATCGTCAGCAAAGAAAAGATGCGTAGGAGAAATCTTGAACCCGTGAAGGGCACCCCGTTCCAGGCCTCTCTTAATTAACATAGAGAAGCCTTCAGTACATATAAGGAACAGGAAGGGGGAGAGAGGATCTCCTTGTCTAAGCCCCCGTTCCGGCCGGATGTACCCAGTTGGGGATCCATTTAAAAGAACACTAAAAGAAACGGTTATTTAATTGGAACCGTTAATCTTTTAATGATAAAAAAAAATTGAAAGCAAGAATCAATCTAGACCCTCCATTTTAAACGGTTGAAAAGAAAAGGAAAAAAAAGAAGACAAAGCCACGTGACTGGGACCCACGCCTACTTTTTCACTTAAATTGTCCTATTGGGTCCACCATTTCAGTCCATATAGAATTCCTATATGTAAGTACATACACCAAGTATCCGGCTAGTCCCTATACTTTAGGGACTCACTTTCCGATCAATTAGAGATTCATTTTGTCCATATATATATTTGTTTATACTCAATTTATACGGTGGTTGTCCCTATATAGGGACTCCACTGAAGATCCTGTATTTATATAGCCCTTGCAAATTGAGAAATTATAATTTAGTAGAGTACTACCACGTGGCAATGCCTAATGGTGGTACTACCAATCAAATATGAACATGTGGAGGAGTGAGCTGTCATCGAAAATAGGGTTTTTTGTGTGTGTGTGTGTGTGTGTGTGTGTGTGTGATAAACATAGGTAATTAGTATTTTGTTAAAATTTTCATTATGGGTGTGATATTCATACATCTTATTTTACTTCTCACACACTCCTTGATAATTTATGTCCGTTGATCTTCTTCAATTCATCTGATCCGACGACTGAAAATTAAAAAAGTGTGTGAGAAGTAAAATAGGATGTGTGGATATCACACTCCTTTTCATTAACTATCGAGAGATTATATTCACACACCTCAAATTATTTATGCCACACCTTTTTAATTTTTTAATATTTTCTACACACCACTAACACTTGATAGAAAAATATTAAAAAATTAAAAGGGTGTGAGAGAAGTAATTTGGAGTGTGTGAATATAATCTCCCTAACTGTCCCTATGACCTTCTCCCCACATCCTCTATATTGTCTGCCCTCCTTGTTCCCGTGCCCTCCTGTTTTGTGTGGTCACGGTTAAGCCACGTCAACATTTTATATATATATTTTTTATAGAGATAATAAGACAAAAATAAATAGTAATATAAAATGTTGACGTGACTTAACCGTGACCACACAAATAGAGAGCATGGGAGGGCACGGGAACAAGGAGGGCAGACAATCATTGTCCAAAAATCATCGTCCCTTCATTCTTCTTCCTCCTCTCTCTACCTATATATTGTCTTCATTTTGTGGTATCGTCTCCGTCACTGGCGCTCCACCGGTGACTGAGTACTAATCGGAAATTACACCAGTCTCATCTTATTCACTCGTTTTTTTAGGCCTTGGCCTTCATCAGTTCATCCATCAATAAAATTAATATTTATTAGGGTAGAAAAGAGAATGGGACAAATGTGAGAATGAATTCAGTTGAGGACGCTCATCAGTTTCCTTCTTTCGTCCCTGTGAAAATTTTAATAAAATATTAATTACTCATTTTAGTTCAAATCTCACCCCTCCACATGTTTGTATAGATGAATGCTAGCTACCTTTTTCATTTATCTTTTCGTATTTATCTTTCTTACTCATCACGTATTCAACTAACTTATTAAACTATATATACTTCATGCTTTTAAGGTGGAAAATTTAAATTTATCGTTTTAATGCATTAATTATGTGGTTTAATTTGTTAATAAAATACACATGTCAAGTGATGAATGAGAAGGGTAAATAAGAAAAGGCAAATGGAGAAGATAGTTAGCAAGGTAAATAGGAAAAGACAAATGGGAAAGGTAGTTAGCATTCCTTGTTTGTATTTAATTAGTAAGTACAACCATTTGGTAAGTTTGACATTGTCACGTGGTAGTATTATACTACACTACAATGTCTCAAATTAAGGGAATGTAGTTAAATTAGGATTTTACATTTTTTCGAAAGTGATAAATTTAATAGGATTCGTTATATCATGAGAATTTGTATGTACTTTTATATGAATTTTTGAGAATTTGTATGGACTTTATTTATAAATTTTTATGGGTTCCAGAACACCTTTTAATTTATCGAGATAATTTTTTTTTTTAAATAACAGAACATCATTGGAAAACTTTTTTTCTCACCCTCCCTCCACTGCCCTTGTCCCCAAACCATGATTCCACATACCACTGGAAAAAAGGGTACGCTAGTGAAACTAAATTTATAAATCAAATGATGTGTCACCAATAATAAATAAGCATGTTAATCAACGCTTAAGTAATAATTCAATCACTAACATAAATCATTTGGTTTACAAAACTTGGTTTAGAAATTTCTCCCTTGCATTACCCTAGGAAAAAATTTCAACCCGCAAAATGTTGTAGTAGATATTAAAATTCCCAAACAAAATAAAGCTTCAGTTTGCCAGTAACCAATTAGCTAGGTTTAAGAATAGATTTGATTTTGCACATTGAACGTATTTCGTTAATTAAAATAACTTCTTTTTATTTAGTTGGAGATGATTGTTACCCCTACACCACGGTGTGAGTTCGAACTCCATCGGCTCCTTAATCTAACATTAAATCTAAAAATCTATCGTTTGACAAAACGACAAAAAAAAAAAAAAAAAAAAAAAACTTAAGCTTCTGTTTTTTTTTTGTTGCCAAAATATGCTTCCTCTTTTAGATCTTGCTCCTTTCGCATTGAAGACACAAATTTAAATAGTACGTTTCCAAAATATTAATATACGACTGACAAACCATTGCTTATGGGAAATGAAACTTGCATGAAACGACAACAAATCTGCATAATCACAAATATAGAAACTTAGAACCATGAAACCGGGATATCATTAATCTAGTCGAAACTCGAAAGAGCGAGATTGTTGAAATAAACCATGCAGCAGATACAAGATTGAAAGAGTGACTACAGGACATTTAATAGAAAGAGAAGCAAATGGTAAAAAGGTGCCAAATTCCCAATCATCTCCTACCAAACACGAAGAGAAGCAATAGATTCAAAGTCTTCATAAACTTCTGAATAATATTATCATCACTTCGCAGCTACATAAAAGCCGTCGTACCACCTTACCTGTTCTTTTCATCAGTAAGAAACTGCATCGGTCTTGTCGAGTAAGACGAGGCTCACAACATAAGATTCAGCATAATAATATTTATATCCCTGAATTCCAAGATTTTTTAATTGTTTGCTCACAAGGTCTAGAGAAACTAATTCATACCTATCATCATCTTCCCATAAACAAGTAATCGGAACCAACACTACATCACCACTCTTCCCGAACCATAATGGCCTGTAGAAAACTCGTCTCCGTGGACTTGGTAGACTTAGAGTTGTCAATTTGGTCCATGACTCTTCAGTGCCATACTCTTTCATCTCCCATATATCCAGACAAATCTCTCCGGTACTAGTAAAACAAGGCTGGAACAGAGTAATGGAATTTCCGTTGCCGGAAATAAACAATTGCGTGGTCCCTGGGATACTGAAATTCTTTGGTGCCATTATCCTGCGAAATGAATCGCTTCCCACGTCAAACGCCAAAATGGAATATTCATAATCAAAGTTTGTCAAAGGGCGCCATACCTCAAAATGAATAGCCCCATTAACAAAAACATGGGATTTTCTAGGACTCATAGCTAAATGTGCAAAATCCAAAGAACGAGGATCACTCCATGAGCCTCCAGCTAGTGAATAAACCTCATAAAAAGTATTTGGATCTTCACATCGCCCATTGATAAGTCTCACAACCTTGTAGTCATTAGTCACAGCGTCAAAACCAAAACCAATACAAGCATGGTACCGGCCTATTGGCTCGAAGGATAGATGAGGCTTAGGAAGTGTCACTGACTTTCTGATAGACGGGTTGCATAACATGAATGTGTAACCTAAACGGTCGTTATCATCAGCAAGGAACACCAGGCCATTACAAATTCCATCCACGCGAAGAAATTTATTCATCTTGGGAACAATTGGAAATTCTAGCTTGCAGTACTCATCAAAAGCATGGTTGTCATAGTGCAAACTGTAATGCTCCTCCCTTGGCTCGTCTGCGCGAACGTTGACGTTGCTGGAAAGAATAGCTCTAGGAACACAGTGGAGTATGCAGAGGTGGGTGCAAAACTGGTTATTAAGACAGATTGTACGGTTGACATGGGTGCGTATAAAGCTGGGATTTTTGATCATGGAGTTCCATGGCTTGCACACCGAGGTGCATCTGATCAAAGATTTAGGCGGTAGCCTATATAGTATATCATGTACGATTCCCTCAGGCAAGTTGTGAGCCATTATTTTAAAATTTGAATTCCCAGGCTGTAGATTTCATAGAGATAAGAGTGGGTGAGGAAATAAATATACATAATTAACAATAACCTAGACATAATTGAGAAGAAGAAACTAAAATTCAAGGGAAATGTTGTTATAACAAAACCTAAAGAGAAGAGAACTATAATCCTGCTCTTGAAAAAGGAGAAGAAGAAAAAAAGACTTTAGGAACTCAAAATATTTAATCGAGCCGAAAATTGCAGTTGAGAAACCGAGTTCTTGTGTTGTGTTAGAGAAGAGTGCTGGAAGCTAGGGTTTTGATTGCGTTGGATGAGCTTAATTCTTGCATCATCTATTTATAGGTTCAATTTGGAAATTTTACCTAGTTTCTCGCGGTGTTTAGCTTTCCTTTCCTGGCTTTTTGCGGAGTTTAGCCATTTAGTACTACAGGCTAGTGTATTCATCATCACTTGTAAGTAAGAGGTTTTAAGTTTGATTATTGCCAAAGACAAATTTGAACCATATTATTGCTAGCCCATTATGAGGCTAAACCCACCCCCTATTCCTTTTGTAAGTTCTATTTGAAAGCAAACACTTTGTGATTTGTACAAAGACTTTTGGGACGACAAGGAGATTAGGATTGACACATGTGGTAAACTTTTCAGGAGTTGTATTACTCTGGTATTCAAGTCAGAAACATTCTTAGATAAACTAGAACTCTTCTGGTTGATTTATGCATAAGTGATTCTTGGTGATAAGGTTAATCTTTGATAAGGTTTTCTTAATGGGAGGACTCCTAATCAAATACCATCGCATACAATATATATTTGAGGTCCCTGCACTCTCATTTGATAGGCAAGTTTACAGAAATACTCAAGCCCCAATGAGTGAGCCTTCTTTCTAGTTAGTGTAGAGTTGCAGAAGAACTTCAGTTCCTTGCCCTATTTCCTGAGACGATGTCTTCCATAGGTTAGTGGTTAAGTTGATATTGAGTCAGACCTTATTTATAACTTAAGTGTCTTACTTACACGTTAGTGTAGATAATATCATCTATTCAAAAAATAAAATAAAATTCTAACGGGTCCATCCCTTCTTTTGTAACTTATGGAATATTTTTTGGAACATTACTATACTGATTAGGAATTATGTAGTTAAATGTGCTTCGTTGATTCTTATAGCATTTTTTGAGCTTAGCCGATCTCCCATTTTCCTTAGTGTAAAAATATCGATGTACTAAAAAAAAAAAAAAGCATTTTTTGAGCTTTATGGAGAAGCACATGAAGTGTATATCTTCAAGAAAGATATTTAATAAAAACTTAGGTGCTAACTACACCGTTCGTATTTATCGTGAATCATGATTTTTAAAATGGGTTACAAACCTTCAATTTTTTAACATTGCACACCAAAGTTCTTAATATCAATTTATTTTTATTGTCCTATGGACCTAGTAAATTGATGATCAAGCAGATATGGAACCCGATTTTTATGATGCATAGAAGCAACACTTGTACCATTGTGACCAAATTGTGCGACTGTTTGTCCTTTCAAGAGGACTTGAAGCTCCTCAATGACTATTCTTGGTCTGTGTGGAGGTCTTGTGGGGGTCACGTCATCAATTTGACTAAGAAACTGAAGGTCAAACATCCGTAAGGCATAAACAAGTCCCATGGTTTTCAAGCCATTGATAATACCTTTTGTAGTACTATTACACTTACAGAAGGAAAGAGTAGCGTGATGAAAGAGATGGAGATATTCGAGCTATGAAACCGAGATATGAAAATTTTTCTCGGCTGTCGGAGGGGCGAGCTACACAAGAAAGGACATCAAGATGAAACTCGAAATTACAGATAGTTAAATAACAAAGGTACCAAATACCAAACATCTCCAAGCAAACAGAAAGGTACATTTTTATAAAAAATCTTGAAGAACTTTGGAACAATATAACATTAGAAGCAGAAAGGCTAGCACTACAGAGCTACAGAGAAGGCATCGTAAAAGTCTTGACGGTTATCTGCTCTACCTGCATGGAGGACGAATGAATACAATTACGCTTCAGGGAGCTGTGCTAAACGGTGGACAATAACCAATGTTCAATGCAGGTATATAAAAAATGTAAATAATTTGCAAAGACAAACATGCTACGTACTATCAACCAAGTATTACTAGGGTGGGTTCGGTATGTTTTACCATAACAAATACCATACCAACTTTTTGATTTGGCAAAATCTATACCATTACCGTGCCAAAATTTCAGTATGCCAAATAGTCTGGTTGACATGGTATGATAACGGTAATTACCACTTTGTTTTGGGCCACTTTTTTTGACCAAATAAATCTGTTTTTTTTTAATTGAATGGTTCAATGTCCATTTCATGAGCGTCAAATGAGCAATCAACGCATAACAAATTTTGTTAATCGAATGGTCATATCATGTCACGCTCGGAACCTTGGAGGTATATGCATTAGAACAAGAAGAAAATGAAAACCAAAGAAAATCAATGCTATCAACTTACCTGTTCTTTTCCTCAGTAAGAAACTGCATCGTTATTCTCGAGTAAGGCGAGGCTTTCAACATAAGGTTCAGCATAGTAATATACATATCCATGAATTCCAAGATTTTCAAATTGCTTGCTCACAAGGCCTAGACAAACTAATTCATACCTATCATCATCACCCCAACAAGCATCCGTCCGTACCAACACTAAATCACCACTCTTCCTAAACCATAGTGGCCTGTAGAAAACTTTTCCTTGTGGACCTGGTGGAGTTGGAGTTGTCAGTTTGATCCATGACTCCTCCATGCCATACTCTTTCATCACCCATATCTCAAGACAAGTATAACGAAGATTGGACAGAGCAAAAGATTTCCCGTCGCCTGAAATAGACAAGTGTGCGGTCCCTGGGCATCTGAAATTCTTATTATCCTGCAAAATGAATGGCTTCCCACGTCAAATTCCAATGAAATATTCAAAACCATGGTTTGTCAAATGGCGCCATGCCTCAAAATGAATAGCCCCATTAACAAAAGCGTGGGGTTTTCGAGGATTCATAACTAAACGTGCAAGATCCAAAGGAAGAGGATCACTCCATGAGCCTCCAGCTAGTGAATAAACCTCATAAAAAGTATTCATATCCTCACATAGATCAGTGACAAGTCTCACAACCTTCTAGTCATTAGTCACAGCATCAAAACCAAAACCAAAACCAAAACCAATACAAGCATAGTACGGGTCAATTGTCTCGAAGGATAGATGAGGCTTAGGGAGTGTCACTGACTTTCTTATAGACGGGTTGGATAACATGAATGTGTAACCTAAACGGTCCTTATCATCAGTAAGGAACACCAGCCCATTACAAATTCCAACCACGTGAAGAAATTTATTCATCTTGGGAACAATTGGAAATTCTAACTTGCAGTACTCATCAAAAGCATGGTTGTCATATTGCAAATGGTAATGCTCCTCCCTTGGCTTGTCTTCGCGAACGTTGACATTGCTGGAAAGAATAGCTCTAGGAACCCAGTGGAGTAAGCGGAGTTGGGTGCCAAACTGGTTAAGAGAGATTGTACGGTTGAGGTGGGTGCGTATATAAGGCTGGGATTTTTGATCATGGAGTTCCATGGCTTGCACACTGAGGTGCACCTGATCAAAGATTTAGGCGGTAGTCTATATAGTATATCATGTACGATTTCCTCAGGCAAATGTTGGCCATTATTTCAAAATTTGAATTCTCAGGCTGTAGATTTCATAGAGATAGAGTAAGTGGGGAAATATATATAAGAGTAAATTGTACAAATGGTCCCTCAACTTTAATCAAATTGGAGCAATGGTCCCTCAACTAAAAATCCATTACCATTGGTCCCTCAACTTATCAAAATGTGTAGCTATAGTCATTTTCATCAATTTTGTCAAAATAAGCTATGTTGGAATGACCATTTATATAATTAGGGTCCCTCAACTCATCAAAGTGTATAATTATGGTTCTTTTCGTCAACTATGTCAAAAAATTTGTCAAAACGAGTTATATTGTAAGGACCATTGCTACAATTGGATTGAAGTTAAAGGACCATTTCTCCACTTGAATTAAAGTTCAGGGACCAATGGTAATGGATTTTTAGTTGAGGGACCATAGCTGCACGTTTTGATAAGTTGAGGGACCAAATGTAATGGATTTTTAGTTGAGGGACCATTGCTCCAATTGAGTTAAAGTTAAGGGACCATAGCTACAATTTACTCTATATATAATTACAAAACAATAACCTAGATATAACTGAGAAGAAGAAACTAAAATTGAAGGGAAATGTTGTTATAACAAAACCTAAAACAGAAGAGAACTACAAAATCCTGCTCTTGAAAAAGAAGAAAAATAAAAAAAAAGACATTAGGAATCACAATATTTGTGAAGAAGGTTGAGGTTACATCATAAAACCAATTGGTAATATGAGAAGTAGTCCAACCTCTTATAAGCCTTCTCCCCATCAATGTGTTATTCATTCTCAACACACTCAATCCTATTACGTGGACAATACAACGGGATGACGTGCAACGCCTGTGGCCATTTGGCTTCACATGTGGACAGTATGATACCATGAAGAAGATTGAGGTTCCACCAAAAAACCAATTAGCAATATGAGGAGTAGCACAACCTCTTATAAGTCCATGCAATGTCCATTCTCTCATCAATGTAGAATTCATTCTTAACAATTTGATCGATGAGCCAAAAATTGGAGTCGAGGAAACCGAGTCTCGTTCTTGCATTAGGTTCGCTTTGGAAATTATTACGTTGAATATAATTGAAATGCAGTAAAGATCAAGGCAACTATTTTAACAATAGAGCAACCGAATATCCAAATATCTCCACTCCATAAATAAATTTATAAAATCAAAATCCATCTGAAGCAACGAACACTATATCCAAATCCACCATTGTTATAGGAAATAAGCTCTTCTAATAAAAACACCAGAAGAAGAAGAAAAGACTTTAGAAACTCACAAATTTGATGAGCCGAAAATTGGAATTAAGGAAGCGAGCCTTGTCTTTCTTATAGAAATTATAATCTGATAATTAGGGGGTGTAGTCAAACTCAAATTTGAGAGGATTTTAAAAGATTTTAAAATCCTAGTGTAGTCAATTAAAAGATTTTAAAGGATTTTAGAATCCATTCAAATCTAGGTGTAGTCAATTAAAGAATTTTAGAATCCTTTAAAATCTAAGTGTAGTCAATTAAAAGATTTTAAAGGATTTTAAAATTCATCCAAATCTAAGTGTATTAAAAAAATAAAGATTTTGGAGGATTTCAATAAGGTGTGGATTTTGTGGGATTTGAGAGCCAAAAGTATATATAAACAAGACTAAAAAGAATCCAACCTCACCCCCCTAGGATTTCAAATCCTTCCACCACAATCCATTCAAATTCTTTTAAAATTCATATGAATTTTGTAAGAATCTTTAATCCTCTTAAATACTATCAAATCTATCACTTTTAAAATCCTTTAAAATCTTTAAGGTATATTTATACAAATGTGTAGACAAAGGGCGTTGCTTTCTGTAGGTGAGGGAAAGGCATCGGCACAAACCCTAGTGGAAGGAAGATCCTGTATCTCCCTCTCTGTATTTACATGCCCGTTGGAGATTTAAAGGCCTTCATCTTGTGTTTATACAGGGATTAATGATTAACTTTACCGCTATAATTTATCTAACTTCTACTTTGGCCCCCTATTTTGGAGGGTAGCTTAGATGTATGGACATTAAGCAGTCAATGTGGCGTCTCGGTCTAAAGACTCCTGTTTGGTCTAATAGTACTAATTTCGATCTAATAATACAATGTCAAATATTAATCTAATTTCATATAATTTTATGTTATTGAACCAGAATGTCACTATTGAATTGGTTCGTGTCCAATATGAATGTATTTGACCATATAAAGTCAAACGGTCTACAATAAACCGGACTTTGATAATTGATTTGGTGAAGCTTTGGAGAATTTATAAAATTGCTTTAAAGAACTAAGCTGACCATTTTTTTCTTTTTTTACAAGCAATATTAATATTTTAATTTACCCTTAGAAAAGGAGAGAAGGTTTGAACTTCAGAGGTGGCTAAAAGAAAAGGGCCTTAACCATTATGTGAATCTACCGCTTAGACTGACCACATATGTTTCTCTTAGTTATATTTGGATAGATTCGTGACTAATATATAAGATGTTGAATTTATAAAATTAATAGAATTGTGTGCATTGTTGCTCACTACCATCAAATAGTGGTAATGTTCAGCATCCTACTTATTATTTACTGTACAAATTTCAAAATTTAAACTCATCTAATAATACAAAAATAGAGTGGTGAACATCATCATCATTTGAGAGTGGTGAACAAAGATATTTTCAAGAGAAATGCTAAGGAGACTCTTTCAAAGTATGACTCTCTATGGACTCTCCGCCACCTCATTTTTTCCACAATGTTTTATAATGTTGACACGAGAATTGTGCTAAAGACATGAGGTGGTGGAGAGTCCACTTTGAAGAGTCTCCTTATCATTTCTCTATTTCCAATAGAATTTTGAAGTTATTGTAATTACAATTATAAAAACATGAGGTGGTGGAGAGTATCACTTTGAAGAGTCTTCTTACTTTGGGCTTTGTTTGGAAACAACGAGAAAGAACTTCTATTCAATGGAAATGCAAATGGTAAAAAGGGGCCAAATTCCCAATCATATCCTACCAAACAGAAAGAAAAGCAATAGATTCAAAGTCTTCATAAACTTCTGAAGAACATTATGTCATCACTTGGCAGCTAAACAGAAGCCGTCATACCACCTTACCTGTTGTTTTCCTCAGTAAGAAACTGCATCGGTCTTGTCGAGTAAGACGAGGCTCTCAACGTAAGATTCACATAGAAATGTCCATATCCAAGAATTCCAAGACTTTTAAATTGCTTGCTCACAAGGTCTACACAAACTAATTCATACCCTTCATCAGCATACCAATAACCATCCATCGGTTCCAACACTACATCACCACTCTTCCTAGAACATGATGGCAAGTACCAAACTCCTCTTTGTGGACCTGCTGGACAAAGAGTTGTCTTGGTCCACGACTCTTCCACGCCATACTCTTTCATCACCCATATATCAAGACAACGCTCTCCAATATTACTGTAATAAGGCTTGGACAGAGCAATAGATTTCCCGTAACCTGAAATATACAAGTGCTCGCCACATGAGCTTCTCAAATTCTCTGGTGACCTTATCCTGCGAAATGAGTCGCTGTCCACGTCAAACGCCAAAATGAAATCTTCAGAACCACCATATGTCAAACGCTTGAATGCCTGCCAGTGAATAGCACCATTAACAAAACAGTTTGGCAAGTTCTTTTAAGTCCACTTATGTGATCCAAAGAACAAGGATCACTCCATGAGCCTGCCGCCAGTGAATAAACCTCATATGAAGCACTCGGATCATCCCATTGATGAACGGTAATTCTCACAACCTTGTAGTCATTAGTCACAGCGTCAAAACCAAAACCAATACAATCACGATAACCGCAATATCCTTTGAAGTTATTATGAGGCTTAGGAAGGGTCACTGACTTTCTCGTAGACGGGTTGCATAACATGACGGTGTTACCTGAACAAAATTTACAATCCGCAAGAAGCACCAGCCCATTACAAATGCCGACCACATTTAAAACTTTATTGCGCAGTTCGTCCTTGGGAACAATTGGAAATTCTAGTCTGCAGTACTCATCAAAAGCAAGGTTGTCATAATGCAAATTGTAATGCTCCTCCAATAACTCTTCTTCAATCACACCATTGCTGGTGCTAACATGTTTAACCATACCATCACAGTACACAAGGAGGAGGTGGGTGCCAAACTGGTTATTAAGATCGATTGTACGGTTGAGGTGGGTGCGTATAAAGCTCGGATTTTGTTATCATGGAGTTCCATGGCTTGCACACCGAGGTGCATATGATCAAAGATTTAGGCGGTAGCCTATATAGTATATCGTGTATGATTTCCTCAGGCAAATTGTGAGCCATTGTTTCAAAATTTCAGTTCCCAGGCTGCAGATTTCATAAAGATAGACTGAGTGAGGAAATATATATAATTACAAAACAATAACCTAGCTATAATTGAGAAGAAGAAACTAAAATTCAAGGGAACTGTTGCTATAACAAAAACTAAACAGAAGCGAACAACATAATCCTGCTCTTGAAAAAAGAAGAGAAAAAAAAAAAGACATTAAGAACTCACAATATTTGATCGCTGAGCCGAAAATTGGAGTTGAGGAAACGGAGTCTCGCTCTTGTGTTAGAGAAGAAAACGTGTTGGAAGCTAGGGTTTTGATTGCGTTGGATGAGCTTCCTGCATCATCTAATTAAATAGTGAAGTGCTTCTTTGATTCTAGAAGCCTTTTTTTAGCTTTATGGATCTTTATGGATAAGCACAAGAAAGGTATTTCTTGAATAAGATATGAGAAATTTTATTTGAAGTCATGTAACATTTTTCTATACCCAACTTATTTGTACACCCATATTATTATTAATTAAATTATTAATATCTCTTTAAATTCAAATTTAATACCTAAAATACCCTCACAAACCCAATTTAATATGTTAATTTATCTATAGACCCATTTAAAATACAAAAATTCCAAATCACTATTTTGCAATTCATTCAAAGTGTGCTTTATCTGAATTGGATTCCCATTGTTCTTATCCCATTGCCGCTTCATAAACAAGACCTATTCAAACTCACTCATTCGTCCCATTGCCACCGTCATTAAACTCTACTCCATAACTCAAAATCATTTTATAAATACACATACATTAGTAACAATAATTATATAAACACAGAAATTAAATAGAATGGGTTCTTTTGTCTGGTTTGTAATGTTTATTAACCCCAAATGCTTAAGCTAGTATTAGGGTTATAATGTCATGAGTTCTTCTGGACAATAATTGTTGCTTTAGTGGCATTTCCATGAATATATCCATTATGATTGCTCGCACAATTCATGTTCCCTCTTAAGGACTGCAAGAAAGCGATTTCTCTAGCTGTTGAAATTTGTCATCGGTTTTAACCTCATTGACATTGTTTGGGTAGAAGAGAGAGCTTGATGATTTTAAGGTTGTGGGGACTGGGGAGTAGGAGATGATGGTTTTATGCTTGTCCAAATTCTTTATTTCAAATTCCTCGATTCGAAGCCTCAGGCCCTCAGTTGTCCTTAGAATCAACAATGGGTTTATTAATAAATTTTAGTTTTATTATTAATTTCACTTTGTACTTGATGGTAATTATGTAATAGGATAAAAAAAAAGACATTTTACATTTAAAATTTAAGTTGAGTGTAGAGATAGGTTATATGGGTTTAAATAAAATTGGGTAAATCGCCAAAATGATCCCTAAGATTTGCATAACTCATCACTTTGGTCCCTGAGATTCCAAATCGATAAAAGTGGTCCCTGAGATTGTCCACCATCCATCATTTTGGTCCTTCCGTTAAAAACTCCGTTAAATGTCCCGGAGCTCTTGGCATGAAGTTTGGGCAATTTTCAAAGCTACGTAACTCAATCATTTCTTAACCAAATTTGACCCATAATATATAAAAAGGAAGATAGGAAAGTGTAGAATAAGATTATATCTATTTTGAAGCCCAATAATTGCCGGTGATGACCGGAAAATAGCCTCAAAGTTGACTGGTCCGAGTGAAAACTTGAAAACTCGCCGGAAACTAGGTAAACTTTAAACGTTCATAATTTCTTCAATACTCAACGAAATCAAGTGATTCAAAAATGAAAATCATACTTCTCAACGTGACAAAGAGAATGGTACATTTTTAGATGGCTAACTCGTCGTGGTTTGGCCGAAAAACGGCTCGAAAGTGGCTAACTTAACACCAAAACAACCACTTTCAAGCCTTTTTCGGCCAAAACACGGAGATTTAGCCATCAAAAATGGTACCATTATCTTTTTCTGGTCGAGAAGTATGATTTTCGTTTTTGAATCACTTGATTTCATTGAGTATTGAAGAAGTTATGAACGTTTAAAGTTTACCCAGTTTCCAGTGAGTTTTCAAGTTTTCACTCGGACCAGTCAACTTTGAGGCTATTTTCCGGCAATCTCCGGCAACCATTGGGCTTTAAAATAGGTATAATCTTATTCTAAACTTTCCTATCTTCATTTTGATATATTATGGGTCGAATTTGGTTAAGAAATGATTGAGTTACGAAGCTTTGAAAATTGCCCAAACTTTAGGCCAAGAGCTTCGGGACAGGTAACGGAGTTTTTAACGGAATGACCAAAATGATGGATGGTGGACAATCTTAGGGACCATTTTTATCGATTTGGAATCTCAGAAACCAAAGTGATGAGTTATGCAAATCTCAGGGACCATTTTGATGATTTATCCAATAAAATTTCCAATAAGATATTCAATAAAAACTTCAGGGCTAATTACACCCTTCATATTTATGGTGATTTTTAAAATAGGTCACAAACTTTTAATTTTCACATTGCACACCAAGATTTTGAAATTCTATCAAACCTTATGGACCTCCAATAGATTGATGGTTGAGCAGATGTAAACGTCTATCATCTCTGCGAATTTTGACCTTAGTTTTTTGTTTTCATTAGTATTAATTAGCGAAAGCTTGCTCAACTTAATAATAGATGTATTACTCAACTTGCTTACTAGCTGCAGTTCTTACGAATATATAAATTTAGTTAATTTAGAGTTCTAAACTGAGTACACTAAGGGTGCGTTTGTTTTGGCTCCTAAACTCTCACTAGACTGGACTACACATTAGTGTAGTCCCGTGTTTGTCACGCACACGGACTAAGTTTATTGGGATAAACCCAGACTCGCGTGGATTATTTACTTCCCTAGAAGGTCTTAACGAGACCCTCCGAAACCCATGGGCCTGCTAAGACCTTCGCTGCGACTTCATCTCGCCTAAGTTAATCCAGTTTAGTTTAGTCTAAGTCAGTCTAACTTAGTCCAGTTCGAGATGGTCCAGTACAACAAATGCACCTTAGAAGAACAGTATTTTCCTCTTTTCTCCTTTTTACGAACACAGAATGATCAGCATTGCTTCTCAGGAAACCCTCAATTTTGACAGATTGCTTTGCATGAGAAACTATTTGGAAACAGAAATCAAGAGCTGGGGTTAATAGAAACAGATTGGTCTTACCGCTGGGCTCCTGACTAAGACCCCTGGCGCTGCGACTTCATCTCGCCTAAGACTTCATTAATCCTTTAGTTTAGTCTAAGTCTAGTTAACAAGTTTTTTCCAGTTCGAGATGGTCCAGTACAAATGAACAAATGACTTAGAAGAAGCACAGATTAAACAGTTTTTTCTCTTTTCCTCTTTACAAAACAAAGTATTTTACGCTTTCACAAGGAAGATGACGTCAGCACTTGGCACAGAAGCTTTGAAACCCTCAATTTTGACAGATTGCTTTTTGAAACCCTCAATATTTGAAGAAGAAACTTTGATGAAGCAGAAATCAAGAGCTGGGGTCAGAATAAAGGGCTGGCAATACAGCATCTAAAGCATGCAGATCAGCAACTTTGTCTTAGTGTTACAAAACTTTCACAAATAAAAAAAAACAAAAAATCAAAAAAAAAGGTTATTTCTAACCAATGGCAAATTTAGTGACGGGATATTCATCACACGACAGAAAATCCCTAGTACAAGCGATGACCTTTTTCTAGTCTAACTTGAAATTACAGAGAGTTAAATAAGAAGGGTAAATCCCAAACGATCTCCTAGCAAACAGAAAGGTACACTTCATCAAAGATTGAAAATCTTGATACACTTTGGAACAATTTAACATTAGAAGCAACAACGCTAGCACTACGCAGCTATACAGAGACGGCATCGTAAAAGTCTTGAAGGTTATCTGCCCCATTTTCTACCTGCATGGAGGACGAATGAATACAATTAAGCTTCAGAAAGCTGTGCTTAACGGAGGACAATAACCAATGTTCAATGCAGGTATATCCGAAATGTACATAATATACTATCAAGCAAGTATTAGAGTTATCACTACTAGTATGTCCTGCCATCATTAGTTGTCCCACATTGGTGAAGTATATATCACCAATCACCACTTCGGTTCAATGTCCATTTCATGAATGTAAAATGAGCAACCAATGCATAACAAACTTTGTTAATCGAATGGTCATATCGTGTCACACTCAACTGGAGCCTTGGAGAGGTATATGCATTAGAACAAGCAGAAAATGAAAACCAAAGAAAAACCAATGCTATCACCTTACCTGTTCTTTTCCTCAGTAAGATACTGCATCGGTCTTGTCGAGTAAGACGAGGCTCTCAACATAAGATTCAGCATAGTAATATCTATATCCATGAATTCCAAGATTTGTATATTGCTTGCTCACAAGGTCTAAACAAACTAATTCATGCCTACTATCATCTTTCAGAAAACTTTCAGTCAGTACCAACACTACATCACCACTCTTCCTAAACCATAATGGTTGGTACAAAGATTGTCCTTCTGGACCTGGTGGATATAGTGTTATCAATTTGGTCCATGACTCTTCCACACCATACTCTTTCATCACCCATATATCAAGACGAGGCTCTATAATTTCAGTATAACAAGAGTAGGACAGAGCAATAGATTTCCCGTAACCTGAAATACACAAATGCTCGCTGCATAACTTTCTGAAATCCTTTGGTGTCACCATACTGCGAAATGAGTCGCTGCCCACATCAAATGCCAAAATGAAACATTCAGAACCACCATTTGTCAAACGGCGCCATCCATCCCAGTGAATAGCACCATTAACAAAAGCAGTGGGTTTGCGAATATTGTTAAGTCCTAATACGTGATCCAAAGAACAAGGATCACTCCATGAGCCTCCAGCCAGTGAATAAACCTCATAAAAAGTACTCGGATCCTGATCCTCCCTATGATCAATGGTAATTCTCACAACCTTGTAGTCATTGGTTACAGCGTCAAAACCAAAACCCATACAATTATAATAACCGGGATCCTTTGAAGGTATAATGAGGCTTAGGAAGGGTCACTGACTTTCTCATAGACGGGTTGCATAAAATGAAGGTGTTACCTGAACAAACTTTTTTATCAGCAAGAAGCACCAGCCCATTACAAACGCTGACCACGTCTAAAACTTTATTGCGCAGTTCTTCCCTGGGAGCAATTGGAAATTCTAGTTTGCAGTACTCATCAAAAGCAAGGTTGTCATAATACAAATTGCATTGCTCCTCCAATAACTCAAGGTCACCATGGCGGAATCTAGACCGTTTAACTATACGAGCACAGTACACAAGGCGGAGATGGGTGCCAACCTGGTTATTAAGATCGATTGTACGGTTGAAGTGGGTGAGTATAAAGCTGGGATTTTTGATCATGGAGTTCCATGACTTGCACACTGAGGTGCACCTGATCAATGTTTTAGGAGGTAATCTAAACAGGATATCAAGAATGATTTCCTCAGGAAAATTGTGAGCCATTGGTTCAAACTTTGAATTCCCAGGCTGCAATTTCCATCTGAACCCATCTGAAAAAAAAGGAACACTAAACCCAAATCCTCAGTTTTTACAGGATAAATAATAAACCCCAGAAAAAAAATTAAAAAAAAAAGGGTTCAGGAACTCACAGTATTCGATGAGCCGGAAAACGCAGCTGAGGAAGCGAGTCTCGGTCCAGCGAGGGTTTTTGCTTGATTGAAAACAAAAGCTGAAAGAGAGGGAGAGAGAGAGAGAGAGAAGAGCAAGGACACGACGTCGTTTTCGGTTGTTTATTTAATTGCTAATTAAAAACTTGAATTATTGGCTCTGCTAGATGACCCACTTTATGTCTTTTATTCGGCTTGGTCCGGAGCAGGACGGGCCCACGCATAGTTCACATATTCACATTTGATTTGGATTCAGAGTAGGTGTCAGCTTGTTCCTCTAAAAGTAGCGGTATAAATCTTTTACGATGTTGATAGACATGTAAGTGATGCATTAGCGCAATTTCACGTGGTGTAGTGTGCCTTCATTAGGTAATGAGCGTGGATTTTTCTTTGGCAGTGATTTGAGACTGAGGTTGAGATATTTCGTAGTAGAAACCGATATCGTTTGATCCATTTGTACTGCAGAGTACCCTACTACTAATTATTATCTTATTTTTTTAGATCATCTCAAAGGTTTATATTTTACACGTAAGGTACTTCAATTTTAGATTCAGATGAACTCTCCACGTATCGTTGAAGTACTAAATATGTGGACATCTAACAACTGCCAAGGCATTATAGACAAATAGCAAATAATCTCTGCTCGAGATCATTTTAAACTGGTTAACCATGGACTAGTTGGTCATGATATTGTCCCCTTTGCATGTTGCATTGTTGAAAAATGGTTACAAACCCGACAACTCATTAGAAGCATATTCAGACAAGAGATGTGATTGTTACAGTATCCTAAATTAATCATGCATTCCCAATCATCTCCTACCAAACCGAAAAGCACGAATTCATCAAAGATTATAAGCCTTCGTAAACTTCTGAAGAAAAGGTACCAAATCCCAAACGATCTCCTAGCAAACAGAAAGGTAGGCTTTCATCAAAGATTGAAAATCTTGATACACTTTGGAACAATTTAACATCAGAAGCAGCGAGGCTAGCACTACGCAGCTACAGAGAAGGCATCGTAATGAAGGTTATCTGCCCCATTTTCTACCTGCATGGTGGACGAATGAACGATGTTAACAATTACATGGTACCTCCAAGCAAGTGTATTACATGCTGTCAAGTCAGTCAGTTGGAACCTTAGAGGTATATGCATAAGAATAAGAAAACGAAAACCAAAGAAAAATCAATGCTATCAACTTACCTGTTCTTCTCCTCAGTAAGAAACTGCATTGGTCTTGTCAAGTAAGACGAGGCTCTCAACATAAGATTCGGCATAGTAATATCTATATCCATGAATTCCAAGACTTTTAAATTGCATGCTCACAAGGTCTAGACAAATTAATTCATGCCTACCAGTATAACCATCAGCCGGTACCAACACTAGATCACCACTCTTCCTAATACATAATGGCCTGTAGCCAACTCCTGTTTGTGGACCTGGTGGACATAGAGTTGTCAATTTGGTCCATGACTCTTCCATGCCACACTCTTTCATCAACCATATATCAAGACAAGGCTCTCGAATATTAGTATAATAACGCTTGGACAGAGCAATAGATTTCCCGTAACCTGAAATATAGAAGTCCTCGCCGCTTGAGCTTCTGAAATTCTCTGGTGTCATTATCCTGCGAAATGAGTCGCTGCCCACGTCAAATGCCAAAATGAAATATTCAGAACCACCATTTGTCAAACGGTGGTATGCCTTCCAGTGAATAGCACCATTAACAAAAACGGGTTTGCAAGTTCTTTTAAGTCCATTTACGTGATCCAAAGAACAAGGATCACTCCATGAGCCTCCAGCCAGTGAATAAACCTCATAAAAAGCACTCGGATTGGGCCATTGTTCAAAGGTAATTCTCACAACCTTATAGTCAGTAGTCACAGCGTCAAAACCAAAACCAATACAATCGTAATAACCGCGAACTCCTTTGAAGGTATAATGAGGCTTGGGAAGGGTCACTGACTTTCTCGTAGACGGGTTGCATAACATGACGGTGTTACCTGAAAAAAATATACAATCCGTAAGAAGCACCAGCCCATTACAAACGCCGACCACTGTTAAAACTTTGTTGCCCGGTTCTTCCTTGGGAACAATTGGAAATTCTAGTTTGCAGTGCTCATCAAAAGCAAGGTTATCATAATGCAAATTGCAATGCTCCTCCAATAACTCAGGGTCACCATGGCGGAATCTAGACCGTTTAACTATACGAGCACAGCACACAAGGAGGAGGTGGGTGCCAAACTGGTTATTAAGATCGATTGTACGGGTGAGGTGGGTGCGTATAAAGCTCGGATTTTTTATCATGGAGTTCCATGGCTTGCACACCGAGGTGCATATGATCAAAGATTTCGGCGGTAGTCTATGTAGTATATCGTGTATGGTTTCCTCCGGCAAATTGTGAGCCATTGTTTCAAAATTTGAATTCCCAGGCTGCAGATTCGATAGAGATCGAGTGAGTGAGGAAATATATATAATTACAAACAATAACCTAGCTATATAATTGAGAAGAAGAAACTAAAATTCAGGGGAACTGTTGCTATAACAAAAACTAAAACAGAAGAGAACAAACAAAATCCTGCTCTTGAAAAAAAAGAAGAAGAAGAAGAAGAAGAAGAAAGTATTAAGAACTCACAAGATTTGATCGATGAGCCGAAAATTGGAGTTGAGAAAACGGAGTCTCGTTCTTGTGATGTGTTAGAGAAGAAAGCGTGTTGGAAGCTAGGGTTTTGATTGCGTTGGATGAGCTTCCTGCATCATCTATTTATAGGTTCGCTTTTGAAGAAAGTCTTTAAAGGGAGGGATTCTCATTTAAAAAAAAAAAAATAGGAACATCCTTTTTACTGTTAAATTTGGTTTTAATGAAATCACGTGATTGAGATTCTGTGGTCTGTGATTTAATCTCAACCATAGAATTTTATTAAACTCAAATTTAATGGTCAAAAAGATTTTTTTTTTTTTTTTTTTTGAAAAATGAGGATCTCATCCCTTAAAAGGTCTGCACTTTTGAAATTATTACCTCTCCTCAAGTAAAAGTACCAGTGTCACATTCTAACGAGGACATCCCTTCTTTTGTTACCCTTTCTCGCTTAAATATTACGTTAAAGATTACGTAATATTGTCTTTTAAAACATTATTATTGTTGTGGCCTATATTTAACTGACGAGGTGAGGGGGCTGGTGGCTAGGAGAGAAAATAGAGGGAGATGTGTTTATATGGTTGTGTGTGTTATCCCCTACGCAGTGCCTTTATTTGTAGTAATAAGATAGAAGAATTCATCCCAAAGGAATACAAATTCATATAGAAAATGATAACTAGAATCAAATATAATCTAAGATTTATACAATCACACTTAAACAAGAAGTTTACAACAATTATCCTAATTAGGGACTAATTTAATCTCGTGTGGCGAATTCAATATCAAATTAGTTTGCTCATTATGTGGCTTCGTCAAATTCTCCCCTCCCTTAGTGTAACATATATCGTTGTACTAAAAAACCATTGTTTAGCTTTATGGATAAGCACAAGGAAGGTATTTCTTGGAGAAGATATTTAATAAAAACTTTAGGGCTAATTATACCCTTCATATTTATGGTGAGTTTTAAACAGGTCATAAACTTTTAATTTTTTGCACACCAAGGTTTTGAAATCCTATCAATTTAATTTTATCGTCTATTAAACCTTCTGGACCTCCAGTAGATTGATGGTTAAGCAGATGTAAACGTCTATCATCTCTATGCGAATTTTGACCATAGCTTTTTGTTTGATTGGTATGAGCGAAAGCTCGCTCAACTTAATAATAGTTGTATTACTCGACTTGCTTCCTACCTGTAGTTCTTACTAATATATAAATTTAGTTAATTTAGAGTTCTAAACTGAGTACACTAGGAGAACAGTAGTTTCCTCTTTTCTCCTTTTTTATGAACACAGAATGATCAGCATTGCTTCTCAAGAAACCCTCAATTTTGACAGATTGCTTAGCACGGAGGACACTATTTGGAAACAGAGATCCAGAGTTTGGTTTTTATGACACATAGAAGCCACACTTGGACCATTGCGACCAAATTGTGCAACTGTTGGCCGTTTCGAGAGAACTTGAAGATTCGTAATGACTATTCTTGGTCTATGTGGTGCAAATTACCGGTCCATAAACAGGTCTCGTGGTTGTCAAGTCATCAATTTAACGAAGAAACTGAAAGGTCAAACATCCATAAAGCATAAACACGTCCCATGGTTTTGAAGTTATTGATACTACTTTTTGTAGTAGTATTGCACTAAAACAAGGAAAGAGTAGCGTGATGAAAGAGATGAAGATATTCGAGCTATGAAAGTTTTTATCGGCTATCGGAGGTGCGAGCAATAGCAAACTTAGCGACGGGAAATTCATCACACGGCAGATTATCCCTAGTACAAGCGACGTCCTTTTTCTAGTCAAAAGGAACAAATCTTGATGCACTTTGGGACAAATTAGGATTAGAAGCAGCAAGGCTAGCACTAAGCAGCTAAAGAGACGGCATTTTCTACCTGCATGGAGGATGAATGAATGCAATTAAGCTTCAGAAAGCTGTGCTTAACGGAGGACAATAACCAATGTTCAATGCAGGTATATCTGAAATGTAAATAATATACTATCAAGCAAGTATTAGAGTTATCACTACTAGTATGTGTTGGAAGTTTTGAGACTCTTGTCCTACATTGGTGAAAACAAGATTCCAAAGTACCTTTATATACCTTTTGTCTTCTACAATATTAGTTATGTGTTGGACCACTTGGAATGGGAATTGAGGCTTGGGCCACCATTTCTGTGGATTGGGCTTGATGATTATACCATAATATTAATATTAATTCATATTAATTAATCAATTAGTTTTAATTTCGAATTAAGTTTTTAATTAAATTAATTAAAAACGTTTTGATTAAAGATACAACCTTTTGTAAAGAGTTGTAAAGCTTTAGATACATCCAAAAGGTATTTGAAGAGGTATGAAAGAGCCTATATAACTGGAGTCCTCAGTTCATCATCAATGATCGATTATTCTTCCTTTTCTTCCGTACAAACTTTCCAGAGAGAGTAAACACACAAAGCAATTCGCTAGAATTCTATAATCCAGTGCGGGTTGTAGGATTAGGTAGTTGTATCCTGGTCGAGCAGACGTTGTAGAACCACAAGCACAAGAGTGGGACGGAATTACTGTTCGAAGGACATAGCTTTTACGCTAGCCTCTACCTTCTGTAATCAAGTTAGTACTTTTGATATTCTCATATTTAATTTTCTGTAGTCGTTGTGTATCATTCTGTATTGCAAGTATTTTTGAGTAATAAAGTATAAATATTTCAAGTTCTGTATTTCTGTTATTTCTGTTTCTAAATTGTTCTCCAACAATCTTCGAACAGTAATGGAACAATCTGGAACTAAACCTCTTTCTGAGAAGCCTGAGAAATTTAAGGGCGGAGACTTCAAACGATGGCAGCAGAAAATGCTGTTTTATCTGACAACCTTAAATTTGGCTAATGTTGTGCACCAGACTGAACCTACTGCAGATGGAGAAAATATTTTTTCTGCAGAAACTTTGACGGCTATAGATGCCTGGAAACATAATGATTTCCTCTGCAGAAACTATATTCTTAATGCATTAGATGATTCATTGTATGATGTCTATGTGGTGTGCAAAACAGCCAAGGAACTGTGGGAATCACTTGAGAAAAAATATAAAACCGAGGATGCTGGTTCAAAGAAATTTGTCGTGGGCAAATTTTTGGACTACAAAATGGTGGATTCCAAGTCCGTTGTCTCTCAAACTGAAGATCTCCAGAAAATCATCCATGACATTCATGTTGAAGGGATGGTAATCAATGAGTCTTTCCAAGTGGCGTCCATTATCGAAAAACTGCCACCTTCTTGGAAAGAGTTCAAGAGTTATCTCAAGCACAAACGAAAGGAGATGACCCTTGAGGATCTCATTGTAAGGCTGCGAATTGAGGAAGATAACAGAAAGAATGAGAAGGGCCTGGTTTCGAGTATGGAAGCCAAGGCGAATGTTGTTGAAGGAAGTTCATCAAAGCAAAGGCCAAAATTCCAGAAAACTAAGAAGAAGGAAAGCCACTTTATCCCTGGTGCGAAAGGCAAAGACTTCAAGAAAATCAAGGGAAGTTGCTGGGTTTGTGGAAAGCAAGGCCATAGGGCTCAAGAATGTCGCCATCGAAGGGATCAAGGTCCTGGAAATCAAGGCAACAACAACCGCGCAAACCTGATTCAAAACAATGTGGATGCCCTGGCTGCAATGATTTCTGAAATCAACCTTGTATCTGACCATGCTGATTGGTGGATAGATACCGGTGCAACTCGCCATGTTTGTGGTGACAGAAATATGTTCTCTTCGTACCAGAAAATAGAGGGAAACGAGCAGCTGTTAATGGGAAATGCATCCTCATCTGTTGTGGCTGGAATAGGGAAGTGTGTTCTGAAATTCACTTCTGGAAAGGAATTGACCCTTCTTGACGTACTGCATGTCCCCGATATAAGGAAGAATCTTGTTTCTGGTCCTATCCTTAGTAATAAAGGATTCAAACTAGTTTTTGAGTCCAATAAGTTTGTATTAACGAAAGGGGGAATGTTTGTGGGAAAGGGTTACCTTGCTGATGGATTATTCAAACTCAATGTACTTGCTAATGCTATGAATGAAATAAATAATGCTTCTGCTTATATTGTTGATTCGTCTAATTTATGGCACTCTAGGTTAGGACATGTAAATTTTCGTTCTCTTTTTAGAATGCATAATTTAGGTTTGCTGCCCAAAATTGATTATCTAGATAATGTTAAATGTGAAACTTGTACAGAATCGAAATTTGCATGTCAAAGCTTTAAATCGGTGCATTAAAAATCCAATGATTTGTTAGATTTAATTCATAGTGACTTGTGTGATTTTAGATCATATCCAACTCGTGGTGGAAAGAATTATTATGTAACATTTATAGATGATTTCAGTAAGTATTGTTATGTTTATTTACTTCATAGCAAAGATGAGACCTTGGATATGTTTAAGACATATAAGGCAGAAGTTGAAAATCAACTTAACAAGAAGATTAAAGTCTTAAGGTCCGATAGGCGAGGAGAATATGAGTCTCATGCTTTTGCTGAATTTTGTGCCACACATGGCATAATTCATCAAACAACAACCCCCTATACACCACAACAAAACGGTGTTGCCGAAAGGAAAAATAGGACTTTTAAAGACATGATCAATTCTATGTTGAATAGTTCTGGACTTCCACACAATTTGTGGGGTGAAGCTTTACTTACTGCAAATAAAATTTTGAATCGAATTCCACCTAAAACGAGAAAGGAGTCACCATATGAATTATGGAAAGGAAGAACCCCTACGTTTAAATTGCTTAAAGTGTGGGGTTGTCTGGCAAAAGTACAAGTTCCATTGCCAAAAAGAACAAAATTAGGACCTAAAACTATTGATTGTGTTTTTATTGGTTTTGCATCTAATAGTTCGGCTTATAGATTCTTAGTTTTTCATTCCGAAATAAGTGATATACATGTCAATACTATTATAGAATCTATACATGCAATATTTTTTTAGGATATTTTCCATACAAAATAGGCAAGTCTAATTTATTGAAAAAGAGAATACATGATGATGTATCTGAGGTTACTGATGAACCTAGAGAACATGATGATGGTTCAACCTCGTCTAGAGTTCAAAAAGAAGAACTTGAACCTAGAAGAAGTAAAAGGACAAAAATCCGAAAGGACTTTGGGCCTGATTTTGTTACTTTATTAACCGAGATAGAACCTCAATCATTCAAGGAGGCCATGTCCACTCCTGAAGCTCCATTTTGGAAGGATGCAGTTAACAGTGAGATAGATTCCATTATGCAAAATCATACATGGGAATTAGTCGATTTGCCCCCTGGCAATAAGCCAATTGGGTACAAATGGATCTTTAAGAAGAAATTAAAACCAGATGGTACAATTGACAAATATAAGGCTCGTTTGGTAGCTAAAGGATACCGTCAAAAACATGGTTTGGATTGCTTTGATACATACTCACCTGTAACGAGAATTACTTCAATAAGATTATTAGATGAGGAAATATATATGGAACAACCCGAGGGGTTTGTAGTTAAAGGTAAAGAACACAAAGTGTGTAAACTTGTGAAATCGCTATATGGGCTTAAACAAGCTCCAAAGCAATGGCATGAAAAATTTGACCATGTTCTGATCACACACGGTTTTAAGATAAATGAGTGTGATAAGTGTGTCTACACAAAAACTCAAAATAATGCTTGCGTTATGTTGTGTTTATATGTAGATGATATGCTTATAATGGGAACTAACAAAGAGATAATACATTGGACCAAGAAGATATTGAAATCAAATTTCGATATGAAAGATCTTGGACTAGCTGATGTGATTCTTGGTGTAAAAATAAAAAGAAACCAAGAAGGATATATTCTTACTCAGTCCCATTATATAGAAGCTACACTTAGGAAATACGGTCATTTGGAAAGTAAGGATGCAATTACTCCTTTTGATGCCAATAGCAAACTTAAGAAAAATAAAGGTGATACTATATCTCAACGTGAATACTCACAAGTTATTGGAAGCCTTATGTACATTATGAATTGTACAAGGCCTGATATAGCATACTCCGTGAGTAGATTGAGTAGATATACATGCAATCCTGGGCATGATCATTGGGAAGCTTTAATTCGAGTTATGAGATACTTAAAGCATACAATGAATTATGGATTGCATTATACGAGGTATCCTCCTGTGCTCGAAGGATTCACTGATGCGAATTGGATATCGGATAGTACTGATACGAAATCCACAAGTGGATATGTATTTACTTTGGGAGGAGCAGCAATATCTTGGAAATCTTCCAAACAAACATGTATAGCCCGATCAACTATGGAATCAGAATTTATAGCCCTCGATATGGCTGGAGGAGAAGCTGAATGGCTAAGAGATTTTTTGGAAGATGTTCCCATATGGCCTAAACCTGTAACGGCAATATGTATACACTGTGATAGTTTAGCTGCACAATATTGAGCTAAAAATAGTGTATACAATGGGAAGTCTAGAAAAATTAGACGAAGACATAACATAATAAAGCAATGGCTCTCTAGTGGTGTAATTTCTATTGACTGTGTCAAGTCAAAAGATAATATTGCGGATCCGCTTACTAAAGGCTTATCTAGAGAGCAAGTTAAGCATACATCGAGGGGAATGGGTTTAAAGCCAATAGAGTAAAATGAAAATGCCAAACGGAAACCTAACCTAGTTGATTGGAGATCCCATGGTCTAGGTTCAATAGGCAAACTGGTTTGGCTAGATTCAAGAAAAAACACACTTACATACCCATTCCTATGATGGAAGAAGTGTGGTGACTACTGATGAGTATAGGATACATTAGTTTAATGATATTGATACTTGTAAGTCAAGTGGAATAGTAGCAGCCTATTCTTAATCAATATCACCTATATGAGAGAAAATGTAAGGTCACATTTATGAGAATTATATGGCTACATTCTCTAAAGCTCTCATGAATCCAGGATTTGTGAAGGACCAAAATGAACACAAACGTATGAATTTGCGATGTGTTGGTGTGGCATATGTTTTGCTTATTGTCTTGGTTTACTGCGGAGATGAACAGTTCAAGATTTTATATTCACTGCGTCATCTAGTAAATCCGATAAGTATATACTAAGGTAGGTTCAAGTCCAAAAGACACCTTTCCTGATGTATGTCACATCTACTGTTTACTCTCGTATCTTAGTTTCTCTAAGACTAAATAGTCGTCTCAAAATATGGGGTATTGTTGGAAGTTTTGAGACTCTTGTCCTACATTGGTGAAAACAAGATTACAAAGTACCTTTATATACCTTTTGTCTTCTACAATATTAGTTATGTGTTGGACCACTTGGAATGGGAATTGAGGCTTGGGCCACCATTTCTGTGGATTGGGCTTGATGATTATACCATAATATTAATATTAATTCATATTAATTAATCAAGACAAGGGCCTTGGGCCTTGGGGCACTTGGGGCCTAAGAATTAAAATTAATCTGATCAATTAGTTTTAATTTCGAATTAAGTTTTTAATTAAATTAATTAAAAACGTTTTGATTAAAGATACAACCTTTTGTAAAGAGTTGTAAAGCTTCAGATACATCCAAAAGGTATTTGAAGAGGTATGAAAGAGCCTATATAACTGGAGTCCTCAGTTCATCATCAATGATTGATTATTCTTCCTTTTCTTCCGTACAAACTTTCCAGAGAGAGTAACACACAAAGCAATTCGCTAGAATTCTATAATCCAGTGCGGGTTGTAGGATTAGGTAGTTGTATCCTGGTCGAGCAGACGTTGTAGAACCACAAGCACAAGAGTGGGACGGAATTACTGTTCGAAGGACATAGCTTTTACGCTAGCCTCTACCTTCTGTAATCAAGTTAGTACTTTTGATATTCTCATATTTAATTTTCTGTAGTCGTTGTGTATCATTCTGTATTGCAAGTATTTTTGAGTAATAAAGTATAAATATTTCAAGTTCTGTATTTCTGTTATTTCTGTTTCTAAATTGTTCTCCAACAGTATGTCCTGCTATCATTGGTTGTCCCACATCGGTGATACTTCATCAATCACCACTTCGGTTCAATGTCCATTTCATGAATGTAAATGAGCAACCAATGCATAACAAACTTTGTTAATCGAATGGTGATATCAGGAAGAAAATGAAAACCAAAGAAAAACCAAGGCTATCACCTTACCTGTTCTTTTCCTCAGTAAGAAACTGCATCGGTCTTGTCGAGTAAGACAAGGCTCTCAACATAAGATTCAGCATAGTAATATAAATATCCACGAATTCCAAGATTTGTACATTGCTTGCTCACAAGGTCTAGACAAACTAATTCATACCTGTCATCATCCACATCATCCAAACAACAAAAAATCACTTCCAACACTAGATCACCGCTCTTCCTAAAACATAATGGCCCGTAGGGAACTCCTCTTTGTGGACCTGGTTGACATAGAGTTGCCAATTTGGTCCATGACTCTTCCATGCCATACTCCTTCATCACCCATATCTCAAGATAAGGCTCTTCAGTATTAGTAATATGATGCTTGGAGAGAGCAATAGATTTCCCTTAACCTGAAATAGACAATTGTTCGGTACATGACCTTCTGAAATTCTTTGGAACCATTATCCTGTGAAATGAATTGCTGCCCACGTCAAACGCCAAAATGAAACATTTAGAACCACCATCTGCCAAATTGCAGAATGCATTCCAATGAATGGCTCCATTAACAAAAGCCTGGGCTCTGTGAGTACTGTTAAAGTCACATACGTGATCCAAAGAACGAGGATCACTCCATGAGCCACCAGCCAGTGAATAAACCTCATAAAAATTATTCAGATCCTTACATTGATGAGCACGGATAAGTCTCACAACCTTGTAGTCATTAGTCACAGCGTCAAAACCAAAACCAATATAACCATACTCCATCTTGAAGTTAAGATGAGGCTTAGGAAGGATCACCGACTTTCTCATAGAGGGGTTGCATAACATGAAACCTAAATGATACTTATAATCAGCAGGAAGCACCAGCCCATTACAAACGCCGAACACGTGTAAATCTGTATTGTACAGTTCTTCCTTGGGAGGAATTGGAAATTCTAGTTTGCAGTACTCATCAAAAGCAAGGTTATCATAATGCAAATTGCAATACCTCTCCATTGGATCTTGGTCCCAAATACAGTTGCTGTCGCCATAAAGAATATCTGGTCGAACACAGTACAGAAGGAGGAGGTGGGTGTCAAACTGGTTATTAAGATCGATTGTACGGCCGAGGTGGGTGCGTATACAACTGGGATTTTTTTATCATGGAGTTCCATGGCTTGCACACTGAGGTGCATCTGATCAATGATTTAGGAGGTAATCTAAACAGGATATCATGTATGATTTCGTCAGGAAAATTGTGAGCCATTGTTTCAAACTTTGAATTCCCAGACTGCAATTTCCATCTGATCAAAGCAACTGTTTTAACAGCAGAGCAACATTCATATCAAAAAAATCAAAAACCCATCTGAAAAAACGAACACAAAATCCAAATCCTCAATTGTTATAGGACAAATTATTAAGATAATTTAATATCAGAGCAATTTCCATCTCATCGAAGCAACTGTTTTAACAGCAGAGCAACATTCATATCAAAAACTAAAAAAATTGCAGATGAAACCAAACATCTCCACTCTATATACGAGAAAAATCAAAACCCATCTGAAAAAACTAAAACTAAATCCAAATCCTCCATTTTTACTGGATAAATTATCTTAAAAACCCCTAAAAAGGAAAATTTTAAATGAAAAAAAAAAGTTCAGGAACTCACAAAATTCGATGAGCAGAAAAATGGATCCGAGGAGCGAGTCACGTTGTTGTGCTCCGTTGGCGGACGCTTTCAATGTTCTAGGGCATCGATTTCTGTTGGTAATTGTTATTGTGGTGAGAGAAAGGCATCGGCAAAAACCCTAGGGGTTCAGGACTCTGCATTTATATGGCCGTTGCATATTAAATTTAAAAGGCTTCCATCTCGGGTTTAAACAGGGTTTATTGATTTCATTTTGGGGGCTATAACTAATTTATATTTGACATCTCATTTTGGAGAGCAACTTGGATGGATCGGCAAACCGTCGATATGACGTCTCAGTATAGCAACAAAACAAGCTGTACCTAAATTAATTTTACTTTATATAGTATTGTGTTATTGAATCAGAACATCGTTGTAGCGGTGTACCCGGTCCATCTAAGTTATGTTCTTCTCTTTATCTCGTAAGATTTTCACAAAAGTTTTCGACCCAAAAGACTAATACATTGTAATAATTGGAGGTGAACGACAATCCGACCAAACTGTCCAAACCAATTGATTTGTTTGAGCTGGCTTAAAAAGAACTATGCTGATAACTTTTTTTTTTTCTTATACAACCGATATTACTATTTTAATTTAGACTAGAAAAATAGGAGAATATTTGAGGTTGAGAGGCAGTGGCTGAAAGAAGAAGCCCTAAAATAACTAAAGATGTTAAATTTGAAGTTTGAGAGAATTTTTAAGCTACTAAATTATATTACTATTTAAATTTAAGATGGTCTATTGTCTTAGAAAGGGAAAAATGAGTGGAAGCTTATGAAATTTTTATTTTTTTTAAGAAATCAACAGAAAAAATCAAATTTACCTATCTCAATTGCTAAAACAATCCATGTTCAATTAGCAATCGATATTTCATCGATATGTTGTCAATATAAAAGTGACACGTCATTATGTTTTGAATATATGATCGAATCAATACATCATAGTCAATTTTGTGTCAGTTATTTTCAATTTACTTTGGACGCTCTTGAAAGTGGTTTGTTGAAACATAAATTGCTAAAAGGACCAAGTCGATATTATTGTAATTGGTTCGATTGCGGTTTTGGTGTATAACCGATCTAATCGGGGCATGCCAACCTCTATTCGAAACTCAAAAGTAGAAGCAATACATTTAGGATGAACAAAGCAGCAGATCCCTGGTACAATAGATGTCTGAAACTCAAAAGTACAAGCAATACATTTGGGATATTCATCACAGGGCAGAAAATCCCGAGTAGGAGCGATGTCGAAACTCAAAATTACAGATAGTTAAACAAGAAAGGTTATATTTGATCAAATATTGAAAATCTTGATACACTTTGGAACAATTTAACATCAGAAGCAGCAAGGCTAGCACTACGCAGCTACACAGAAGGTATCGTGAGAGTCTTGAAGGTTATTTGCCCCGTTTTCTACCTGCATGGAGGGCGAATGAATACAATTACGCTTCAGCAAGCTGTATTCATTCGTTAATCGCATGGTCATACCATGTCACACTCAGTTGGAGGCTTGGAGGTATATGCATTAGAACAACAAGACAATGAAAACCAAAGAAAAACCAATGCTATCACCTTACCTCTTCTTTTCTTCAGTAGGAAACTGCATCGGTGTTGTCGAGTAAGACGAGGCTCTCAACATAAGATTTAGCATAGTGGTATTTATATCCATCAATTCCCAGATTTGTAAATTGTTTGCCCACAAGGTCTAGACAAACTAATCCATGCCTATCATGATCCTCTTCATCCTCACAACCATCAAACGCTACCAACACTACATCACCACTCTTTCTAAAACATAACGGCCGATTCAAAGAATATCTTTCTGGACCTGGTGGAATTAGAGTTGTCAATTTGGTCCATGACTCTTCCATGCCATACTCTTTCATCACCCATATCTCAACATGAGGCTCATGAAAATCAATGAAATAATGCCTGCAGAGAGCAATAGATTTCCCATAACCTGAAACAGACAACTGGCCGGGCATTGAGCTTCTGAAATTTTTTGGTACCATTATCCTTTGAAATGAATCACTGCCCACGTCAAACACCAAAATGAAACATTCATAAGCACGATGTGCCAAATTGCAGAATGCAATCCAATGAATGGCTCCATTAACAAAAGCATGGAGTTTGTGAAGACAGTTAAAGGTACATCTGATCAATGATTTAGGAGGTAATCTAAACAGAATATCATGTATGATTTCCTCAGGAAAATTGTGAGCCATTGTTTCAAACTTTGAATTCCCAGGCTGCAATTTTCATCTGATCAAAGCAACTGTTTTAACAGCACAGCAACATTAATATCAAAAACTAAAAGATTAATAAAATTGCATATAGAATTAAAAACCCATCTGAAAAAACGAATACTAAATCCAAATCCACAATTGTTACAGGATAAATCATCTTAATTATTTAACAGCAGAGCAATTTCCATCAGATGAAAACAACTGTTTAACAGCAGCAACATCCATATCCAAAACCAAAAAATTTAAACATTGCATATAAAATAAAAAAAAACCCATCTGAAAAAAACGAACACTGAATCCAAATCCTCAACTGTTATAGCATAAATTACCTTAATAAAACCCCAAAAAAAGAAAAGCTTCAGGAACTCACAGTATTCGAAGAGCCGGAAAAGCAGCTGAGGAAGCGAGTCTCGGTCGAGCGATGGCTTTGCTTGATAGAAAAACAAAATTTGAAAATTTGGATTCCGCTATTCCGCTTGTTGGGCCTTCGTTAAAATATAACAAAATTATTTTTCAAATAGTGATTTTGGCACTCTTTAATTTTTTTTTTTTGGCTCTTCTAATTGTTTTTTCTTCATTAGTTATATGCTAAGAAGACTCTCTAAGAAAGTGAGATTTTTTATGAACAGTTCGTCACTTCATGTTTTTCCACAATGATTTATGATATGGGCACAAAAATTAATATTAAATTGTAAAATGACAAAGAGTACGTAAAAAAATCCACTTTAAAAAAGTTTCCTCAGCATCTTTTCTATAATTTGATTTGTTCAATTCCAAGTCTAGAAGAGAGGGGGGGGGGGGGGGGGGTGTGGAAGAGTGGAGGAGAGAACGAGAATGCGAAAACACATTTATTTTCTTCATGAAAAATACGTCTTCCATTTTCTTCATGGAAAATACAAGTTCTTATGAAAAAGTATTTAGAAGTACTCTCCAAAAAGTACTATAAAGCGATTTTATAATCCATAATCACTTTCTAGGTTCTAGGGCATCAATTTCTGTCGGTAATTGTTATTGTGGTGAGAGAAAGGCATCGGCAAAACCCCTGTGGTTTGCTAGCTAGTGAAATAAATTAAGTGAACTTATAGTTTTATTTTAGTAGGAAATCTCTACACATTTTATTAAATGTGTTGATTGTGAGATTGTTTTTTGTAATACTTGGGTTTACAAATTCATGAAGTAATACAGGTTTATTTAAGGTAAATATCTTGCTTTCTCGATGAATTATGTAGATCTTACTTTCAAATTAAAAATACATTATATATGTCATCAAACATATTTCAGGACATGTATTAAACGGCTAATGACACACTTTTTGTGTCATTGCTAATATTCAATGACACTTCAAATGGTTTCAGTGCTATAGTACATCACGCTTTACATATGTCATAATTAGTATACCATGACGTTCATTCCTATGTTTATGACACATATTTTGCGTCTCAAATTGAAATAGATTACACGCTTTTTTAATTCAATGACACTTGTTAGGCGTCTCTAGTAGCTATACATGACATGTGCGTATGTCATGTTTAGTATACCATGTCGCTCATTCATCTATTTATGACACTTAATCCGTGTCTTAAATGGTAATAGATAACACAAGTTCTTAATTCAATGACATTTTTTAGGCGTCCTTAAAAGTAATACATGACACTTTTTCAACGTCACAAAAAATATCTTTAATGACACCCACAAAGATGACGCTAAACCCTTGCGTCATTAAACTTTTAACATGACGCATAAACTGCGTCATGTATGTAAAAATTTGTAGTAGTGTAGAATTCTGAGAAGAATGTGTTTGAGTGTTTGTGGGTAGCAAAAAGCCTCCTTAGGGGTAACTAAAGCTTATTGAATTTTGGAGATAAAGGGTGTATTCTATCACAAATACTTTTGACTTTTCCTACAGGTAGGGGTGCCTTGAGCAGTCATTGATCTCTACCTGCTTTACCTCAACTGAGTGGTGAATAAGACTGCTTCCTGCTCATTTAATAGGGGCAATCTTGTCTTTCTTGGAAAATAATCCACGTGTTAGCTCCATGATTTTTGAGATTATTTTTGGCTCCATAACATTTACAATAGTTAGCAGACTTCTTTATGTGATGGATAAAATTGATGCTGCCCTAGGTAATTTGACGAACGTAATGATAGATGATTAGATCCCGAGATGCCAAATGAGAGATAGTGGAAAACAAGTGACTTGACTCTTTGGGGTTAGCATGAACAGAGCCTTTGAGAAACAGTCTTCCCCCCCCCCCCCCTCCCCCCTTTATTATTCCATAGGGCAGCGAGGAGCATGCTGTGGAACCAACCACTAGAGATTGGATGTGTGTGTGTATATATATATATATATATGAATAAAAAAAATTCTTATTTTTTCATAATAATAATTTTGTTTTGAAATATATTAAAGAGTGAATTTCACAAAAACGTGTATCAAAAGCATTGTCTCTAGATCCTATCTTACATTTGATCTTTCGAGCGAGCTAGAGCCCTACCACATGAACTCTTAGATCACTATATTACGGAATGGATTTCAAAAAAAAAAAAAATATCAAAAGCATTGATCTTTGGATCTTATCTTCCATTTGACCCTTTGAGCGAGCTAGCGCCCTTCCACATGGAACTCTTAGATCGGTATGTACGACTTTTTTTTTTCTCAACAACGCAATCTTAGATAGCTTGAGCCTACCTTGCTATTCAGAAACCTGCACTTTCGGCTCCTTGGTTTTGGCTGATCGTGCATGCAAGTGTTTAATCGTTAGGGTAACGAAAAGAGCTATAGAAGGATTATTACTTTATTATATTCAATATTTAATTTTACTCCTTTTACCTCTAGCTAATATTTGACATTAAAGTACCAAGTCCGGTAATATTTAGATATTCTCCTTCTCTGGACCATCCAATTCGATCACATTTTAAAAATAATTATAAACATTATATACATGCAATACAATGAAACGAACCAAAGTTCAAGGAATAATTAAATATTCTGCCAAATTTGTGCACCAACCATGCATATTATAAGATTCACCAATATTTGAACATTTGGCTGCGGAGACTTCCACTTCCACCTTCTCTTGTATTTGTTTAATGATCCTCGTCTCTTTTCGGCACATTGTCGACTCCCCACGCAATGCGCCCGTCGTGACCACTCCTCGGATGTAGGAAGCCATTTTTATATGCCACCAATGCATTGTTATCACCCAAGCGTGCGCCTTGGTCTTGCCTACACGTGTAACTTAGATGTCAAAACCTGTAGAAGTTTTCAGGTCGACGGGCCGAGGGCCCACTCTAATAACATCGACACTATTTCCATTTAACCACATGCATAATCCTCATGTGTGGAGTTTTATCACAAAAGACCTCGATGTTAGTTAAAGTGAGATAATTCTATTTAAAGTACTCTTTTCTTTTCCCTCTGTTCGATGTGGGACTGCTGACTTCCAACACATCCCTGCACATGAGACCCTATTTTATGGGTCACACATGGAGATCCACACATCGACAACCACATGGAGCCAAGTCGGGGCTCACCTAACACGTGGGGCCAATGGGGACCTACCCAATCACGTGGCATCTTTGGCCTACGTGGAGCCATGTCGAGACTCACCCATCGTGCGGGGCCAAACGAGGGCCCACCCAATCACATGGCAATACGGGCCCGTCCCTTGGCTCCGATACCATGTAGAATTTTTCAAATCCACGAGCCGAGGGCCCACTCTAACAACATCGATACTGTCCCTACTTAACCACCTGCACAATCCTCAGGTGTGGGGTTTTTTCACAAAAGGACTCGATGTTAGTTAGAGTGGGGTAATTCTATTTAAAGTACTCTTCTATTCTCTCTCTGTCCGATGTGGGACTGCTGACTTCCAACACTCCCTCGCACGTGAGACCCTATTTTATGGGTCACACGTGGAGATCCTGTGAGATCCCACATCGCCCAGGGGAGTGATCCTTATATGTATATTCTTATCCCTACCTAGCACGAGGCCTTTTGGGAGCTCACCGGCTTTGGGTTCCATCGGAACTTCGAAGTTAAGTGAGTAGCGCACGAGAGCACTCCCATAATGGGTGACCACTGGGAAGTTCTCGTGTGAGTTTCCAGAAACAAAACCGTGAGGGCGTGGTCGGGGCCCAAAGCAGACAATATCGTGCTACGGTGGTGGAACGGGCCCGGGATGTGGTGGACCCCGGGCCGGGATGTGACAATTTGGTATTAGAGCCTAACCCTGGCCGTGGTGTGTCAACGAGGACGTCGAGCCCCTAAGTGGGGTGGATTGTGAGATCCCACATCGCCCAGGGGAGTGATCCTTATATGTATATTCCCATCCCTACCTAGTACGAGGCCTTTTGGGAGCTCACTGGCTTTGGGTTCCATCAGAACTCCGAAGTTAAGCGAGCAGCGCGAGAGCACTCACATGATGGGTGACCCACTAGGAAGTTCTCGTGTGAGTTCCCAGAAACAAAACCGTGAGGGTGTGGTCGGGGCCCAAAGCGGACAATATCGTGCTACGGTGGTGGAACGGGCCCGGAATGTGGTGGACCTCGGGCTGGGATGCGACAGATCCACATATCGGCAACCACATGGAGCCAAGTCAGGGCTCACCCAACATGCGGGGCCAATGGGGACCCACCCAATCACGTGGCATCTTTGGCCTACGTGGAGCCATGTCGAAAATCACCCATCGCGCGGGGCCAAACGAGGACCCACCCAATCACGTGGTAGTACGGGACCGTCCCTTGGCTCTGATATCATGTAAAATTTTTCAGGTCCACTCTAACAACATCGATACTGTCCCCACTTAACCACCTGCACAATCCTCAGGTGTGGAGTTTTATCACAAAAAACCTCAATGTTAGTTTGAGTGAGGTGATTCTATTTAAAGTACTCTTCTCTTCTCCCTCTGTCCGATGTGGGACTGTTGACTTCCAACAAAACCCTTTAATGTAAAAAAAACAAAACAAAACAAAACAAAAAAAAATTTAAAAAAAAGAAGGGGGAACTTTCCTCCCAATTTCCCTTCAATTATAGGTTAGCTTGGATTGTCTCTTACTCTAAGTGGGGAAGCCACTGACTTTATAATGTGTCATTTTCTGTCTTCTATCATTTTGGGGGGCTCCTCCCGCACCTGAAACCACTGCCTTATTGGGTCCATTGTTTTACTAGTCGTTGGCCGGCCAAGACCACTTTTTCCACGGCCCTCCCCTTGTCGTCTTCACAACACGATACTTAACATCGACATTAACAATAAAATAACGCCATACATGGAGTGAATGCAACCACACATTAAGTCTTGAAAGTTTCTTTCTCTTTATCTGTTGAATGACCCATGTCTTAAAAAGTTAATTTCCCCACTAAAGAAAAGGTACAAAAGAGTGGAGAGAGAGAAAGAGAGAGAGAAAGAGAGAGAGAGAGAGACTGTAACTATCTTGTTCGGCTTCAAACACTAAAACCCTATATATATTCTTCATGAAGTTTCCTCAATCTAAGCTCCAGAAAACCTCATTAGCTCAGTACAGTACATTAACTTCTTTCTCTCTCCATTTTCGACTAAACTAAATTCAAGAGTCGAGTAGCAGTGCTTCTGGGTAACTAGCTCCACTTGGCTGCTGGAAATCTCTGTAAGTAATATTTTATATGTCATGATTTCGCTTATCAAAATTAATGGCCTTCATTAAACAAAACTTACCACGCAAGTATTTTAGATCTCCATCTCCGTTTACATAATTTTAACACACTCATTAGCTTCACGTTATTTGGAATCGAGTACCTTGTCCAATGACCATATTACTTGAATATATATTTAATTCTTCTTTTTACTCCTCAATCTTGTACGTACAATAACATGACTTAATCAATTAGAAGCATAACAGATTCCCCATGCCATGTATTGTTGTAAGTTCACTAAGTTGTAAGAATTAGGGTTGACCAGCGGTTCTGGAACAAATTAGTGGAGGAAGAAGGAAAATGAAAAGACTACAAAGAGATTGGAAAAACTTTTTTCTAAAATTAAACAATGATTAACAGATTAAGCTGAAATTAAGTTCTTTATCTTTTATTTTGTTATATATCTAAAATGTACAGCGATCATTGACTTGCTCCATTTTTAACTGCTCAATTATTAAAGGATTTCAGTGAATAAACAATTAAAAAAAATGATCCCCACCATTACGAATAGGGTACCACACATGTTTTTAGTGCCGGACGTATGGCTATTTCATGCAATAAACATTTTGGTAGTTCGTCAGCCTAACGTAGGTGAGTGACGTAAAAGGAACCAACCAAATTTGTTTGTCTTTTTCTTGTTCTAGATGACCAATACTATTCGAATTTTTGAAAGAAAAAAACTGAAACTTGCTTTTGTAAATAAATTTTAAATTGTCACTCCATGTGATGGTAAGTTTAATTTACTTTTCCACCGTTAATCACTATGTAAATGTGAATGAATTGTTTCTCTCGTTATGCTTTAGAAACATATTAGTATATTACAGTATAAGTTAGTTGGTAATTCAGATTTTTCTGTGGAGATGTTTATATATATTCCACACAAGTTCATAGGGAAAAATGTCTAGTCCACAAGCACAATGTGTACCTGCCCCAGCTGGGATCCAAATGACGGCAGCAAATGGCGTTCCGGCTGCTGGAAATGTAAGCATCGGCATTGTGGCTTCTACGCCAATTCAACCGAGGCATCCTTCGCGTCATCTACTAGAAAATACCAATAGTACGTACGACATCTCTCTTTCATGCACATCACATGCATACATACACGTACCATATTGTTAACTACATTGAAATATTTGAGATTTAAAGAGAAAATCAAAAGAAAGATGCACACATAAAGTTTGGAGAGAGAGTTTAGAGAGAGAAATATGAGACTTGTATTAACTAAAAAGAAAGATTGCACAACTATGTTTTTATAAGAGAAAGCCTAACAACTCTAACCAAATACTAACAAACTTACTAACTATATTACTAACTTGTACAATTATATAACTAATCATCTAACTATTGGTGTGGAACCTTAATACATATGGTTATAATTGATATTTAGTCTCCATCTTTGCGTTGTATTTGCATGTGTGTAAAGGTTAACTAAAGTGGCAAAACAGTCTGCAAAATGATTAGTTGGGAAAAAGAAAAACAATTAGCGTGGAAATAATTAAGAAATAACTTGAATTAATATCAATTAATAATACAGAGCTAGGTGAAGTTATATGCTATATATGAATATGAGGTAACTATTGCATGAAAGTATGAAGATCAAAAGTATGATTGTATGAAAAGTTGGATTAAACCCAATATCATAAGAGTAATGTTATGAAGACAATCTATTTAAACCATTTTTTTTCTCAATTAATGTGTAGTTAATGGCTTAAAAAAATCAACACACCAAGCACTACGCTTAGATTTATTAGATTTGTTGCTAAAAAATATTGGTATTGAATCCGAAACTCCCGGCGAATGGCCAATAACCCAAGGAAAGGAAAGAATCGATTACATTTTTCATATGATATCCTCTTTCTTATAGATAGACTAATTATTTTATTTTATTATTTTTATTAGGAATTTCCCTATTTTTAAATACAATATACTAAATAGAGTCAAAAAAATATATTGACTTATAAATGATTTTTTTTTTTTCAATTGGAAATTTCCAAACCCATACGTGTTTCTTTAGGTCTTACTGTAACAAGTTTGTGTGGAAATATGCGAGCACATATTTTTCCACTGCGGCGTGCATTTTTGTGACATTGCTCGCCGCCCTGCTTCTATTTGTCTAGATGTGATCCAAGCGGGTTCAAGCGCTTGAAGAGCATATCTACTGAAGCAAATACGATCTTCCTTATCCTGATTCCAAAGTTTTTATTTATTCTTGATAACACACAATCAATAATTTTTCCCCTAAAACATTCAAAATTTTATTTTCTCCTTCTTCCTTGTAAAAATTTCATGTTTTTCACCTCTAAAATTGTATGAATTTCATAGCATTTCTCCTTCTCCTACGAAGTTTATGGTGCATTTTATATATTTACCTTGTTAAAGGTTCAACTGTCGTAGCAATTTACCTAGCAAAGAGAAGTAATTTTTTTTCCGGTAATTGTTAGTTTTCTTCGTACTGTAGGTAACATAATCTTAAAACTTTTCACTCATACATGTTTTAATCATCTTGATGTTGTATTCCCGCCTAGCGCTGCTTAGGTTCTGCCAGGCACTAAGCGGTTGGCCACCGCCCGATTAATCCCTAGATATTTGAAAATTAAGAAAGGTCCTAGACCTGCTGAGGCATTCGCCTCGGTCACGACTCTTATGTGGGCATAAAATAGATAATTTTCATTTTTAATTTTATTTATTTTTAATAGATTGTAAAAGACTTGTTGAATACTTATATGGACACTCATTATATGTTTGTTATTCATGTTTTCAATATGTTCTAATACTCTACAATCTATGTCATTCTATTTTCAATTTATGTATCTCAATACAATTATGTATTTTTAAAGTATAAACATACATTTATTTATATGACTTATAATAAAATTACGTGGTTAGGCCCCCGTCTAGCAGCCTAGCGTCTTTTAGAATCATGATATGATTTTTGCGTAAATTAGCAAGGTAATATAATTTATATGTCTATTAACAAGGCAATACAATGTCGTTCCTATAAATAAGATAATTTTCAAGAATGTATATGTGTTCTTCATTTTTACTTTTTAAGGTTCGAAATCCAAATTAACAATAAAAATGTTTTAAAATTAAATTTCAAGGGTAAAATACTCCTACCAAAGTCAGCACGATGCTTATGTGGATTATTTTTTCTAGTGAGTTGTTTCCACATTTTGCACGGTTGACTGAGTCTAAATAAAAAGAAAAAAACTCAATTGAAAAGTATAATACAAATGTCATAATCATAATTGTTTACTTTATTATCATTAAAATATTATCTTTGTAAAAGAAATCAAGGGGTTCAAACCTTTTTTTGAGTACATTGATATTTTTACATTAAGAGGAGAGGGAGTTCTAACTTTAATACTTATAGAAAAATATATAAATTTAAATAAAACATAGTGTTATATTACAAATTAATTATAATTCTTTGACGTATATTTTAATTCAATTTCATATTCTACTTTTATATAATATACTTAAGATCTCCCTGTTAAATATTTGAATTGATTAATATGCACATTTTAATTCTTTGACAAAAAAATACACATTTTAATTCATTTATTTTGATTAACTTCCTCCCATCGTATCGTTAAAAATGAACCTAAATGAGAAAAAATTCAAAAGAAAAATAAAATAAAATTAGTTACACATAAGAAAAATATGAGAATACATAAGTGTACTGAAATATTAAAATGAATTGATTTACCTAAATATCTAAAGAAATGTAGGTACCAAAATATATTATAATGATTTAATTAACCTAAATGTCTATATCAAAATGTATTATATTGAATCAATTTATCTAAATGTCTGTTCCGAAATCAATATAGTAAAAATATATTATATAAATTAATGTCTAAATAATATAAATAAGTTAGTTTACCTAAATGTCTACAATAAAATATTATGATGAATTGACACACCCCGACCGAGATTGAAGCGTGCTAGCCGTCACGTGAGGGTGACGTAGCCATGTGCATAGTGCGGAAGCGATTAAGATATATAAAATACGAATAATTAAAAACCGAATCTCAAGAAGAACTAATAAGTTTAGGGTGCAAGAACGGAAATAAGTGTGAATACAGAATCAGAGCTTAACTAGCCTAAGCGCAGTCAAGCATAAAAGTACTAATTATAACAACACCCGAAATTGGTCCTACATAAGTGATGATCTGTCAGAACCTCCGCTGTATCCTCGTGAGCCACCAACAAATCGCTACCTAAAACCTGGAGGGGTGCAAAACAAAAGCGTGAGTGGGCAAAAACAAAGCTTTTTAAAAAATCATCTCTTTATCAAAAGCTCTAACCCCTTACTGTAAAACCTGTATAATTTCCCAGAAAATAGTATATATATATATATATATATATATATATATATATATATATATATATATATATATATCTCAAAACCATGCTCAATATATCCAAATCCATATATATGTATGCCATTTATATGCCATGCCAATATCACAATAAATGTAAGCCAGGTGATTCAATTCAATATTTATCATCTGCTAGCTGGAGTCACCTAACGTGATCTGCACGGCGGAATCTAGAGCTCATCTCAATCATATCTCAATCTCATCATATATTTCATCATGTATATACGTCACATATCTCATCACATATCTCATTATGTATATACATATCTGCACACGAGTTGGAACCACCTTACGTGGTCTGTCCGACAGGACTGGGTGTAAATAATACGCTATAGTGCTACGATCATGTGAAGACTGTACGATAAATCGCGGGTCACCTACGATTCGAATCCACTAAAAGTGGTCTATACGACAGGAATATGCACCTAACTTGGATCCAAGATGAGCGTGTGGTGCGGGAGGTGAACATCACGTGAAGGACTCTACCCCTAACTCTGGGCGGGAACACTAACACCAGGGTGCAGATTAATGAGCTCAATATACATCTCAACATCATCACCATCTATCTCATAACCAATATCAGCATAATAAACTCACATGTAACTTACCTAGGCCTCCGCAGCACCATGCAACAATATGCATAATTATGATAATGCATATACTAAAATATGATGCATATATGACATGGCATTTAAATCACATTTCCTTTAAATACGTTTTCTGGGAAAAATGTCAAGTATATATATCTAGATAAGTATCGCCTATATGAGAAACAACTATATAGACGTTATTTTAGAGCACATAGACAAAACTATGTAATAACTTCTTATACATTGCTCAATTTGGGTATATGAATATACCACAGTGATCTACACAACCTCACGAACATCCCCATATTTTTAGAATAATTTTCTGACCACCCACGCGCCGCCACGCGTAGCACGTGCAACCCATGTGATTAACGGCGTTAGGAATATTCCGTTAAAACTAACAGAAACCGTTATCTTTATCTGACGGCATTAAGAATATTTCGTCAACTTTGATGGAATATTCGTCGTCTTCTTCCTTGGTTCGCTGGACCGTTGCCGGTCGTCGCTCCGATCACCGGAAACTGGAAAACTGAAATTTCTTTATTTCTCTTCCATTTCTCAACCAAATTCCATGAAACTTGAACCAAATTGAAGCTTACAACATAAGGAACAAAACCTTACCAACTTTAAGGCCTGAAATCCTCGAAATCTCACCGGAGAAGCTTCAATAATCCGGCCAAATTTCAAACTCTCCGATCTCCACTTCCCGATGTCCAAATCACCTCGTTTTTCTTCTCCGAGCTTCGTGAGGATGATCTAAAGCTCCCTCTGTCCTTAAAAACTCCTAAAAACCTCACAATAATTAGTGCATGAACAGTGCATGAAATCAGCATTCATGGTTTCACGGGAAAATGAGGGTTTCAAGTCCTAAAATTGGTATGAGTGAACTCAGAAACTTGCAAGGATCACAAAACTAACCTTTGAATCTTCAATCTGTGACTGGAAAGGCTGGTTCAATCTTCGTTCATACGGTTGTACGAAAATTGAAGAAATCCGAGAGAGGGAGGAGAAAGAGTACACGGGATTGGATGAGGGTGTGAGTGTGTGGTCCAGATTGGTCACCAACCAAACAAAACAAAAGTCTTTTAGTTCACTTAGGTCCAAAAACTTAGGAAAATAATGAATAGGTCCAAAGAAAACTTAAGCTTAACTTTAAACCACACCACCACTACACAATATCTTAACATCCAAGGGCAATTTCATCTTTTCACATCTTTGAGAATAATTTTCCGGAACGGGCTGTCACATGAATGAAATGAAAATTAGGAAGAAAAAAGAAATAAAACATCAAATATAATTAATATATGAGGTGATTAAATTTATGCTGACATTTACAGTGACTAAAGGGACTGAAATTAGTTTTTAATCTTACTTAAGATTTTAGTCTCAATATGATCTTTTTCAAGGATTAGAATGAAGTTTACTAAAAAATCAATAAATTTGGACATATTGGAGTTCGTTCTGCCATGCATATGTATCGAACAAACCAATTTTTTTATAACAAGTAATATCCTCAAATGAACTGTTTATTTCTTTGATGCATATGAACGACTAAATGATACAAAGTAATAGACAATTCATCTATTTAGACAAGAATCATATTCAGACAAGGATCAATCTGATGTCAAATAGCTGGTATGACAAATTCTTCTACGAGAGAATATTTATGTACACATATATATTCTACGTTCATAAATTAACCATATACTCAGTCTAATTTCATCCCTTGCATCCATCACAGGAGATGCATACTTGAAATTGTGTATACCCCTTTACAAAGCTGCAATGCAAGGCAACTGGGAAGCCGCCAAAGGCATCTTAAATAGCCATCCGGCACTCTTAACTGCTAGCATAGCAGAAGGATGGGAAACTGTTCTTCACGTTGCAGCAGGAGCAAAGAACAATATTCAGATTGTGTCGGAGCTAGTCAACTTGATGGTTGAAGAAGACTTGGCACTTCAAGATATTAAAGGAAATACGGCACTATGCTTTGCCGCTGCAACTGGAAGAGTAGAAGTTGCCAAGATTTTGATAGAAAAAAATATTTTGTTGCCAACAATCCGCGGTGGTCAAGGAATGACACCACTCTATATGGCTGCTTTGTTTGGACAGTCTGAAATGGCGTGGTATTTGTACCCTCAAACAATTAAAATGCTGGATGAAATGGGCCGCATTGTTCTATTTTTCTGTTTTATCGAACATGGTCTTTATGGTAGGTACTTGGAACTTGTTAAACATTAAACACATCTTTATTTCTTGACTACTATTCTTTTAAAAATTGTTTGCGTTCTCTTTCCAACCCCTCATCTTCTTTTAATCTTTGTAAAATTGTGCAGATTTAGCCATGAAGTTGCTACAAGATTATAAAACATTAGCAACGGCCCGTATAGACAACAAGGAAACAGCCTTGCATGTCTTAGCTCGAAAGTCTTCAGAATTTGGCGACCAAAGTACTCCAGTAATGTGCAGTAGACTTATCAAAACATGTGAGTTAAAACTTCTAAAATTATGATATCAAAATGTGATTAATTATATAAAAACAAACTTTTGTATTTGATTACCCCACATTAGTATGAAATTTGCCTATTCTTGTGACTATGAACCTTTTTGTTTATGTTGTAATCCTTTTAATTTACAGTTGAAGTACTCCCATGCATGAGGGTTTCTCACAAAAGAAGCTTGAAGCAAACTCAAGCCTTGAAGCTAGTCAAATGCCTTTGGGAAGAAATGTTGAAACATGACGACGACAAAGTCATGTGTTTGATAAGAGAGCCTTCAGAATTAGTATTTGACGCAGCGAAATTAGGAAATTATGAGTTCTTATCTGTGCTTATTGACTCTTATCCGAAATTACAATTGGAATATGATGAAAAAAATCGGACCATATTCCATATCGCAGTCTTGCATCGTCATGCAAGTATCTTCAATCTAGTGCATGAGACAGGCTCCATCAAAGATATCATAGCAACATTTATTGATGATGAGAATAACAACATTCTACATCTAGCTGCAAAATTGGCACCTCAAGACCAACTCAATCTTGTGTCCGGAGCAGCTCTTCAGATGCAGCGAGAATTAGTATGGTTTGAGGTATCATTAAAGTTCATCTTATAATCAACTTTAATCCGTCTTGCCTGGAAATTCCTTGCTTCTTTAATTTCATTATCGATCATTGATGTGGCAGGAAGTTGAGAAGATTGTGCAAACTCACTTTATAGATATGAAAAATAGGCAAGGTAAAACACCTCGAGAATTATTCACTAGTGAGCATGAGGATCTATTGCGCAAGGGAGAATCATGGATGAAGGACACTGCAAATTCGTGCATGCTAGTTTCAACTCTTATCGCCACTGTCGTGTTTTCAGCCGCATTTAGCATTCCGGGAGGTATAGATGATAATAAAGGAACACCGAATTTCATAAAAGAGGCGGCATTTTTAATATTCGCCATATTTGATGGAGTAGCACTCTTTTCCTCCTCGACTGCAATCCTCATGTTCTTGTACATCCTCACATCGCGGTATGCTGAAAACGATTTTCTCAAATCTTTACCGTTGAAGTTGATGGTCGGACTTGCATCACTCTTCGTGTCAATAACATCCATGATGGTAACTTTCAGCACAACCTTCTATTTATCTTGCCATTATGGATTAAGATGGGTTCCAGATCTTATATTCATATTTGCATTTGTCCCAGTTGCTTTGTTCGCTTTCTTGCAGTTTCCTCTCTTGTTTGATATGTTCTTTTCGACATATTGTTCAAGTCTTCTGTTTCAGCCAAGGAGGGATATGATCTAATATATAGAACGCTCTACTGAAACCTTGCCTCCACAATAATTTATATACGTTCTAGCAGATGAGTTGTGATTAAATAAGAATGATTATCTATATTAACACAAATGTATGTCACTTAATTTGGTTCTAAACTTTTTTAGTTTTGTGCAATTACCGCTCGAACTATTTTTTTTTTACATTTAACCTCCCAAACTTCACATGGTGCCCTTTAGCCTGACTACGGAAAATCATTTATAGATAATACTTACATTCCTCAAGTGGGGATGCACATCTCCGATTTGCGAAAAATGTATTTTGACCATACAAATTCAAGTATTCAACGATCGGAACCGTTCAATCTCTAATAATCTTTAATTGAACGTCACTTCTACAAAAATTCATTTGAAATGGAGATCATAAATTCATTGAAACGTATCAAATAAATGGACCGTTCATCATGTATATGTAGTTGAATGATTCCCTTCCAAGGAATCTCTAGTTATTGCTTGTCTTCTCCCGTTTCTCCCTAGTTCTTCTGGTACCCTCTATTTCGGTGCAAGATGGCTAGGTGCTGCCAACCTGTTAAACCTACATCATGCCTCATTTCCAAGGCGCTGCTTTCACGAGTCAGCTTTCCACATGCGCTACTTTTGATAGCGTGCCTCATAGCTTTCGTACGTTGAACTTCTGCATGAGCTGGGAAGGGAAAGTCAACGTCTCTCTTCATTAAATGCCGACTTTGTTGGGGGTTTCATGTGGGCTTAGAGTTAGGACTTGGTTCCTTTCTAATTGAATTGGTTAGCTTGCTAGGGAAAGGGGTACATTAAGTCTGTTCTTTCTCAATGTTTGCCTATGTGGGCTACAAAGGTTATGGGCTTGGATCTTTGGGCCCCCAAGCAACCCAAAGTCCTCCACAATATTGACTCCACATAGGCCCAATAAACTCCCGTAACCATCCACACCACAATTAACTTGACAAGCCCCGAGCATGTGACTTGGGCTTATTTTAGTGTAACAAATAGGCATGGGCATGACGTGATTTATATAAATGTCTGGCTTAATTACAGTAGCATGGCATGGTCGTGAATATATTCCTTCTTTGATCCCGTACCTTTGTATGTGTTTGGGCTTGAATTGGGGCTCTCGTGGCAATTGGGCTTCAAGACTTGGTTGGGTTTGCTCTTGACGTTTATGGGCCTCAATAATAATTTTTTTAAAAATACCTAAAAGATAAAAGGTTGGGTCGTTGAAATACAATGTACAGTCAGCCCCATGAAGGTATTCGAGACATTCTTCAACTGAAACTCACTATATTTATTGGGGTGTGATATTCACACACCCTATTTTACTTTTCCATGAAGCAGAATCGACTGGAGGTGTGATTCTTCTTCCGAGCCACTTTTACAGTAAAAAAAAAGACTCGAAAATGTTGTCTAAACACACCCTTCTAATTTTCGGCCGTCGGATTGGATGAATTGAAAAAAAAATCAACGGATAGAAATTAACAAGGGGTGTGTAAGAAGTAAAATGGGATGTGTGGATAGCCCACGCCTATTTATTAATATTGATTTTGGACTGTGGGTGAATAACAATTGTGTATAGTTGGGTTAAGTTGGGTGTGTTAGATGCTTCAAATTTTTTGCTAACACATTATTGGTCTTTACTGCAATGAGATGGTTATAATACCAATTTTTTATGAAATAGGAAGGACACCAATTTTTTATGAAATAGGAAGGGGTTTTTTTTTTTATCACATATGATTTTTGAAATTTGAATTCATTCCTCATTTTGATCCCTAATTCTAGAAATTAATCTTTATTTTCTCTAAACTTTACCACCACACATGAACCATATCGTCTATTTTTGTTGAATATTCTATCAATTTACCGATGCAGCACACATGTGAGCCTATACATCCAATTGAACATCGACAGGTGAATTAAGCTTTTTCTCAATGTTTATTCTTTAGTGCTTCTTATTCTTTTTTTTTTGTCACAAGATAGATTTGCTAAATTAGATGTTATACTAGAGAGATGACGAAGTTCAAATCTACGCCGTAATACAATGACAACACTCATCTTCATCACTGTGGTAGAGGGCCACTTGCTTACTCTTTGATGCATTTAATATGGTATTGTTTCAGCCTAATATGGTATTGTTTAAGCCAAAGAAACTTTTTGTAATTTCATTCAGTGGCATATAGTGCCAAGTGCCAACATGACATGCTAGGGCCAAAATATTGATCCCACTTGCCTTCAACAACAAAAAATTTCTGGTTGAAAGCAAATGTGCCATGGTTCTCTACTAATTTAACATGTCACTTTAATGAGATATGGCACGAGACGTTGACATTTCTGACCAAATCATGCACCAAAAGATTTCCACAACAAAGTGACTGAGCATCAAAATTAAATATAAATCAAACCAGAATTCAAGAAGAATATTCCTTTATATGACCCTATTGGATTGTTGATGATTCTTTTTATTGTTTTTACATGTGTTGGGATCCAAAAATGTCACATATCAATCCAACCAAATCTCAAGACCCAATTGTCATGCAAAACCTACATTCAAGCTCAAATACATGCCAAGGCACATGATCGACGAGGAATATATTTACAAACATGTCATGCCATGGTGATTAAGCCGGATACTCACACCATGCTCATACCTATTCATCATGCCATGCTTCCTCATGCCAATCACTACCATGCTAAGCCCAAGTCACATATTCGGGGCTTGCCAAGTGGATTGTGCTGTGGATGGTTATGGAAGGTTATCGGGCCTACGTGGAATCGGGATCATGGAAGACTTTGGGCTGCTTAGAAGCCCAAAGATCTAAACCCATACCCTTTATATTCCACGCAGACATCATTGAGAGAGAATTAGCTAAGGGAGAAATAGAGAAAATATAGTGAGAGGGAACCACCCAGGAAGAAGCCCATAAAGTTCCATTTAGTCTAGAAGCATACTCCAAGTCTCAGGCATCACAATCCATGCAACCTTAGTAAATCCCACAGCCTTCCATCAAACATCTCAACCATTAGAAGCCTTACTATCACCCTAGGAAGGCCCAAATCATGCATCTAAGAATCCCATGCAACCATGCAAACCTTCTCTCTCTCTCATGTAAACTGATAATCTTCTAGCTTCCACACCACGCTTCACTTGAGCAAGTCATTATCTTGATCTTTCATGCTATCTTCGAGCTGTTGATGTTACTGGGGTATTTCTTAAGACAATCTATCTCTTTCGAGATATCCCGGTACTTGTTGTGAACCCGCACCAAGGGAGACAAAAAGATGTTCTCAAAGCCCAAGTCCACTTGGACCTAAAAGTCCCCCAACATGAATTAGTGACTCTGCTAGGGATAGGTTGCAATCTTCATTCAATGACTCCCAAATCCAGAAGAAACACTACCAGGAGTGGTAATGCCTCAGACACAGGCGAGGCTGCTTCCTTGCTCGACGAGTCTCAACGTGAAGGCCAACACCTGGAAAGTTAGGAGAACCTGGACGAATACAACATGGCAGACATCATTGCAGCCATTCATGCTTTGGGTGAAGCACAAAAAGAAATTGTTGCATCTGTAAAAGAGTTGAAAAACTCAATCCCGAAGGAAAAGGCTTCTCAAGATGAGTCAGCTGCTGCTACTGGCAAGGGTCCTAAGAAAACACCATCATTTGTCACTCAGGAAGACGTCATAGCTATGCTCGAAAAGGAGCTGCACAGGAGCTCGGAGGACTGGAAATATATTCCTGAGCCACCAGACCTAGTCAACGGTCTCCACATGTAGTAGGGGTGGGTTCGGTTCAGTTCGGTTCGGTTTTTTTCGATTTTGGATTTTTTCGATTCGGTTTTTTCCTTGATTTTTTTTTAAATCTGAAGGTAGCCAAAGAAGAACCCAGAAGAGCAAAGGAGAAAATCTGAAGAAAATCATCAAACAATAATTATAAAGAAATATGTTCTTGCTTTGTTCCCTAGATCTGTCTTTTGCATTGAGAATAAAGATGGTGGATTGGGGGCAATCCAACCGAAACCGAGAGCAAAGCCACTGGTCAAAAAATGGTTCAACATCAAGAGCAAAGCCGAGGACTTCGATGCAGACGACGACCTCGTTTACGGAGGTCATTGTCACATACATGCATTGATTTGGATTTTATAAAAGTTTGGGATTTCTGATTTGGGGTTCAAGAATAGCCTCACAATGATATGATGTTGGCCATCCTCGTTGCTTAACTTACCACATCATGTATGTACATATGGACTCCTCCTAAAGGTAACATACTTTGAACCTCCCCATGATAGGGTGAAGCCGGTGTATGAGCCACAAGCGATTGGAGCCCACCACGGTGGAAGGCCTACGAAGAGATGTTCAAAGCATCTCTTGCTTATCAACTTAATATTCGTTTTGTTATGGGAGTTGTGTTGGGCTACATCAAATTCATTTTAATCTTATTAAAAAAACTTGGGCCTATTACAACCATTGGTCCAATTTTATATGAATTAGTAGTATATAATACTCCCACTATTTCAATGAAACAAGCGAGACTATATGGAACTACTAACGAATGCATTGCATTCTCATATGAACTATATAGTCATCTTCGGTCTTAGGATGATTATGAACCGTTTGATTTGATCCAACACGAGCCTTGTGTTGGACTTGGGTCTAAGGTAGGTAGTTGTTGATTTTAGTTACGCGTTTAACCTAATTAAACCGTTATTTCCTATTGGGTGTTGGACCCAACTATTCCAATTTGCATGCAAATAGACAAAAATGAATACTTGAAATAAAGAGAAGGGCTTATGCCTTTTTACAACACATTTGAAAGACTTATGCCCTTTTACAACACATTTGAACTAATCAAATTACATTCAAATCTAAACTACTTAACCCAAACATTCATAATGTAAAGCGGCTAATCACATAGCTTAATTATCGAGGCCTTTGGTTCATAATCACCATTTTCTTAATCAATCACATTAACTAAGAAAGCAACTTAAACAACTGGTTTTCGGATTCATAGAATTGATTCAAA